TTTTCATTTTAATTATGAGTAATTTTAAAATTTAAAGTTTTGAATTGGATCGAGCGTAATTTACTTTTTCTTGATCAATTTTTAAGGGATTAAGTAGTGTCTGACGTAAGAATATCCCCTAAAGGGATCTTTTTAATCCCTTTTGAAAGTTCATCAGCGTAAATTCATTATTCGTTAAGGGAAAATTCGTTATTCATTAGAAAAATTAAAAAAAGAAGAAGAGACGTTGTTTCATTAGGAAAGAAAGGAAAAATTAATTAGTGTAAGGGAAAAAGTATTCATTATTTGACAGGGAAAAAACGGGAGAGAAGTTCGTTCGTTCGCCAGGGGAAAGAGGAAGCATTCACTATCGATAGGGAAAAATTTCCCTTTTCCACAGTTAACAATAAATTATTTTCACTAGGGAAGTACGGGAAAAATTCAACAGGAGTTAGGGAGGAAAAAAAAAAACAGTACAATTCGCAATTCATTAGGGAATAGGGATTAAAAGTTCCCTACACAAGAGACCTTTTAATCCGTAAAACTCCCGGCGAAAGCAACGAAGACTTATTTAATTGTATACAAACTTCAGTTACAAAGTGTTAAGTTGATATTTCCTCTTTCCGTAATTCAAATAAAAAGAAATAAAGAATATATATATATATTTATTATTATTATTTTATCTCCCGTGTAGAATTAAATTTCGTGTAAGGAAATAAATCATCTTTCCGCATAGCGCGGAATCTCCTATAAACAGGTTTCTCTTGAAGAGCCAGAAAGTTTTGTGGACAAAACAACTCCTCTTCTGTCAGGTTCCTTTCCTTTTGTGTGAGACAGATAAGTCTGGCTGATAACATTGATTTTTCCCTTATTTATATTACTTGTTACGTCCGGTAAATAAACAACTCCAAGTGTCCGATGTGTAATTTGTATACAAACTCCTCCGAAGGCAGACATAACGAAGCCCTTTGTAAGCTTATCGCCGCTTCTAAAACATCATCATTTTTTTTTTTTTTTAAAGCGAAACCCTTAATTTCTGCCCTAAAATCTCCCTTTTTCTTCATTAAAATTTAATTTTTCGCCCGAAAAACCCGTGTCGTTTGTACATGGAGCGGTTTTTCCGCCAATTTAGTATTAACAGATCCCTTTCAAGAAGCCATTTTACAATAAAAAAAAAGGCTTATATGTTAATTAAAATGAAATTTCTTTGCATATAATACTGTATACAAGCGATACAAAGCATTAGTATTGTACAGAAATGCTGTTAATTGCATTGTGTTGCCTTTAAAAGCACGCTTAATGGCTATTGTTTAATGTAAGAAGTCGATTTTATATATAAAAATATGCTTTTTATATTAATTAGAATTAATTTTTCCATTAAACATAATCATTATAAGCAAGTAATAACTATAAAAACACATTTTAAATGACATTAAAACTTGTTTTATTGATATAGCTTACATAATTAATGTCTATAACAACTTTCTTACTAACCTAATCAATTGCTTAATGTTATTCATAAACATCAAGAAGGTTTATTATTATTATTAATAATAATAATAATAAAAACATTAATTAACTTCAAAAAATAATTTAATTTTATATGGAATTAAGGATGCTTAATGGCATATTTATACTTTAATATAGAATTAAAGCATGGTTTTTATGTAATTCTATGATTTATTAATTAATGATTCTGTGATTTATGCCTTAACTATATGGAATTAAGCCTATTTACTAGATCTTTACAGCTTTAATTCTGGATATAAACCAAAGAATTGCACGAAAATCCATGTTAAAGCATAACAATGCCACCCAGTAGCCTCTTTAATAACCGTAGACTTACATAAAACCAGGGGTTAATTCTAATGTTTATGGTCATGAAAGCTACTCGGTACCTTAATTTTGCATGAAAAGTCAATATTAAAGCATTTCTACGGTCATTAATTAGTGTTTTTATACAAGAATTAAAGCTGTTAAGGCATAATTACTTTTACTAAACAGTATTTTATGTATAATTTAAGTCTATAGTTATTAATTAGAATTCAATGGTATAATTATGATCTAATATAAAAAATATCCCAGGCTTTTTATGCAATTCGATGCTTAGAAAAGCATTTTTTAACACAGAAAAAAAAAACCTTTTACTGCCAGGCTGAAGAGGAGGAGAAAATGTTATTTATTGTTAGTCGGGGGATGTGTTTACAGCCGTCTTTTGGCAGTTACTGTGCATTTTTATTGAGGAAATAAAAGTAAATAAATCACTCCAAACAGTCTTAAAAGAAGATATTTAAGCATTTTTTGATGTTTATAATTGCATTCTCTGCGGACCGAGCGTTAAATATCAAGCAGAAAGCCACAAAATACCATTCTGTAGAGAGAAAAGAGGAAAAGGTGCGAGAGAAAAAGCATGCAAACGTCAGAGAAACTCGTGCAATTCGGTATCTTTTTAAAATCCCAAATCGGCCAAATATCGCCGATTACAACACACAATTGCACAATTGTAAGAATCCGCGCATAGTAAAGGGAAGGGGGGGAAATCGATTGCGACACTCGGTAACGTGTGTCTACATGGTTACTATGTAAACTAGGCTCTACTACAGATAAGCGTGTTTTTATTTATGTTTAATTCTTTAAAAGTAACTTAATTTACTAAATATTAAAGCATTTTAAACCCAATTTAGGGTATTTCTAGTGTTCCTCAAACCCCCAAACTCGCTGGAAAGTTGATTTTGTTTGAATCGCAAGAGTCTCGATTATTAATTGTTATTTCAATTTCGAATTTAATTAAAACTATTGGCACAGTTTTTAATGAGGTAAAACCTAATTTTCAACTCGATTTTATACTAGAAAACGGTTCTCTTATTGAAAATCTACCGATATTTTAGTTAAAAAAAAATGATTTTCTATCGCCAGTTTCAATGAGGAAAAGTCTGTTTAATGAGGTAAATCCTAATTTTAAACTTAAAAGATGACTTTTCCTCGTCGAAACTGGCTTATTTCGGCGATAAAAATTCGGTTTTCTATTAAAAATATATATTCAATGAGGGAACCGTTTTCTAGTAGAAAATCCAGTTTTCATCGCCAGTTTCAACGAGAAAAAAAACTTGAAAATTCGACAATATTTTAGTATATTTTCACTGTGTTTAGTAATTAAGCGACTATTTTTATAGCCAATAAATGTCCTTCAAAACAGTGTATTTTCTAAAGTTATAAACGAGTAAACTCTCTACAATTTCGTCTTTTATCACTTTTTATTAGTTGACTTTCCAATAAATTTTCTAAAGATATAATTAACAGCCAATAAAATCATTTACTTCTATACCATTTGACCTGCGTAAGCCGACTCGCAAACCCTTTGATGTCCGCTCGTTTAATGTCCCTCTAAACGCTAATCGGTTTACGTGTTCGAAAACATGTTTTAAGGGGCTTCGAATTAGAGGTGGGGGGGAAACGCCGAACACTTCTCATTTTTTCCCTATTTTCTTCAAGTTTTTGCTGTAAATTCTTCGGTCGGACCTGCGATGGCGAACACCTCTAAGCGACGGCCAATTTTTTGGGAATTTATATGCAATTTTTGAACCAAAAAAAAACCTCTAAACAGCGGCCATTTTCTTTCGGGAACGTACGTTCCCGAAAGAAAGGTTAATTAATAATAATAAAAATGTCCGCCTTATAGAGATTATTTTGCGTGCGTTTTTGATATTCCCGTCAATGTCCGTTGTTCGGAGGTTCGGCTGCACTACTCTAAACAAATACGTAATTTAAATGTACTCGTAACTGTAGTGGAACCTCGATATAACGCCCTCCTGAATAGCGTTGGAAGACACGCGATTCGACGACGACAACCCGTTTACAGTGCGAAATCTCAAGTTTTAGTAATTCGCAGACACCCGAGGCTTTCCCCTTATTTAATACCGTATTTATCAGACGACACTACATCGAGGTTTGGCCTTATTTCTACGCTTAATTTTGTCTGTTGTTAAACTTAGCGGCGCCAACTCGAATACGTAAATACAGTCAAACCGCGATATACCGTCGCCCCCCCGTAAAGCGTGTCGAACAGCTCATAACTATGATGTATACAATACAAAATCTACATTTAGCGAAGGGTTTACCCCGTTTAAAACGTCTTAGGCAATCGTTCGCCGACGCAATACCGAAGTTTGGCTGCTTTTTACGCCCCCGCAATACGGATAAATCGCAAGTAAAAGAGGGGAAAGCCATTATTAGAATGCGGTACCGTTTCCTAGAAAGTTTCACACACTCCAGCCGCACAGTTCCCATATAACGAGGAATGTGGGAGTGGCGCTAAAGAGGGGGGAGCTTTTTAAATCGAATATCGAGTCGTGAAAATTATATTCATTTGCATAAAACGTGACGCGGAAGTGATTTACTAAACACACGACTCGGCATTACACTCATTCCATTATTAACTCGTATGCAAAGGAGAAGAAGAAGAAAACGAGCCAACTCTACACGCGTATAACGCGCGGAAGTACTGTTATATCGAAGTTTTCGGCGAGAAAAACACTAGATTAATCACTAAAAAAGTAATAATAATAATGGCACGAGTCGAGTCATGGTTCAAAACTGCGCTATGTATTCAGACGCTCACGCGCTGCATAAGGTCATTAGGTTATGGGCAATTATTCCATGGCGTCTGTATGTCGATACGTATTCGATTAATTAAAACCCATTTTTTTACTGGTCGGATAGAACCTTAATAGTATTGTTGACACGACAGCAACACAGTTGACATTCAAGTTATTAGGACAAACGCCCAGTGAGAAGTTCAATGTCCCGTCGACATACTCAGCACAGAGATATCTCTCTTTCCCCCCCCCTGTCTATGCCACGTCTCGCGCTCTCCCAGTTACCAAAATTAACATCGATGCATCTTTCAGAAATCAGATAGCGCGCCCGCGCGTTAAAACACCCCCCGAAAAGACAATACAAACAATACAAGAGGGGGTGGAAAGTTCTCGTGTCTCTTCTGACCTCGCTTTACCGTTTTCCAGACTGTACTTTCGGCAATCTGACCTACGAGTTGGAAGAAAGATGGAGACCCGACCTTGGCCCACCCTTTGGAGTGTTGTATTGCGTTCGATGCGAGTGTACTGCGGTGAGTAACTCAGATTTTATTTTTTTTGGAGGGGGTTTCTCCTGTGGTTTCCCCTCACTTACGGCGTTGAAAGGTGGCCACTTTGGCGCTGTGTCGAAATCCCCCTGCCAGTGCCGAGCCGTCAAACGTAAACATCTCGATAAGGGCGTAACACTATCCCCGTGCCCTCCCGAGCACCACCAAAAATGAGTTTCTTCCGGGAGTGCCCTCTACACTTTTTATCATTTTCTCGCGCGATTTGGGAGTCTCGCCCGGCCTCCAAATCTCTAAGGGGGCTAGCGTTCGGGAGAGGGGATGGAAAAAACCTTTTCTGGGAATGGGTACCACGTCCCCTCTAAACACCTGGTTTCACTAAAGTTGGGAGCCGAAGATTATCTCCCATCTAGCTCGGTGGCCTCCTTTGTTTGACTGCCACGACATTGTTAGTGCACGTGACGATTTCACAGCTTAACGCATTAACACCCCCGAGTTTTACTGTTTGGCGATGGCACACCTTAAAGACACTTCCGACAATCCGGACCATTCCAGCGTTTCTGGAATGCCAGCTCGGAATTTTCGGGATGTCTTAGGGGATTAATACCTTAAAAAAAAGCCGTTTTCTCTCTATAAACCCATTTTATCGGCTTTTCGGGAATGGGGGGGGGAATCGCGCGCCCGTTCTTCTGATGTTTCTGCAAAATAAAACGATAGCTTAATGTAGCAAAATTGGTTCCCATTGTGGCAAATTCGCTTCCTTTTATTGTTCTTCCATTGCCGTATGTGTGTGGGGGTGCCGCTCGAGAAGGGGGAGCGACAGAGATTTGTTACATCTCGGGGTGGAATTCTAATATCTTGTGTTTTTCTGCTTTAGGTGCGCAAGAAGAAACGAGTTACAGCCAAAGTCAGGTGTCGCAACATTAAGTACGACTGTCCCAAACTGACCTGTCACAATCCGGTCCTCCAATCTGGCAGGTGCTGCAAAACCTGTCCGGGACAAGGTGAGCAATATCCTAGTGTTTTACTCAACCGTTCGTACTACGAAACACTGTCGAGTGCCGGGATTACATAATAGAATCTACGTCACAAATGACTTCTTTTTTTTTTTTTTTTAATTCTTTTTATGGAAAGGGGCCATCTTTCGTCGTGGAGCTCCATGATTGATATTTCTTTTTTCCCCTCTCTCTCTCCCTCTTCGTTCACGATGTTGTCTGTCATTTTTAACAGAAATTTCCCTGCGAGGGGGGTTCGGCGTGACGTCATTGGGACTAAACGAAACCAGCTGACAATTCTCTCCTCTCACTCTTCTTCAATCCGCGGTCAATGAACTTGAAGAATAGTTCATCCTACTTCCGGTTGCCGAGGTCATTGGGGGGACCGAAAACGGTGACGTCAGGAACCCAAACTTCCAAGCGGGCGGGGGAGAGAGGGGGGAAGTATCCGTCGATATTTATAGACGGAGTGTCGGCCCGTTCGTTGTTTTGTGTGTATATAAACAAGGAGACACGTGGACAGTTGGGCGAGTGCCAAGACCCAAAACGGACGTTGTCGGTGGGCGAAATACCGTAAGGGGGTGACGTAACGCGTAACGGGTTCGCTTACCTCCGCGTGCACGGGTGTCTGCGCGCGCGTGCGCCCCCCAGAAATGTGCTACCGTATCACTAGGATCGAAATCAAGTTCAACCTAATTGTGGATCTTCCAAGACGTCTGCGCATTTTCCCCCCTCCCGGCAACTTAGAAAGTCATTTAAAACTCCAATATTCTAGTGGGGTTGGCAACACTACGCAGAGGGATATTTTTTTTTCGGGGAAGGGGGGAATTTTAGGGGCGCAAGAGCGAAATAAAATATAATACTTTAATTATAATTAATTATTTGAATTTTCGGACTCGTTAATTACATGAAATTGGACAAGTGTTCTCGATATTAATTACTCTCTCTCTCTCTCGCCGTGTGATGGGCACACATGACACTAGCTTATGTAACCCTTCTTGAGTGTTATTAAAGATTACTTTTCGCAGAAGTGATTTGGGTTTTCTACAATTTTTCCCCCCCTTTTAATTTTATTGGCTGACTACCCTCCCTTTGGGATGTTTGTAGGGGATTTTGTGTGTGTGTGTATCGAGGTTTTTCTGTGTTAAAACATAGACTTTCCCCCTCTTGCTCGAGTTAACCCCCAGAAAAAAAGGAGACTCGAAAGAATCTTTCTCAGAATCGAGAGTACACTGCCCTTTTTGAAAAACAATGAACTTCGAAGGGTGCATTGGCACCATACACTAGTATTGGGTTTTATCTAGAATTTGTGCGCGCGTTGCAATGCGCGGGGCCTTCAGTGGAGGGAGGCCCGAAGTGTGTTTCGAGTGTTTCTGTCGATAGATTTTTATAAAAAGGGGCTAATCTTTGGCATCTCTTCCTCGTGTCGATATTGCCCACCCCTACCACGCGTAAATTAAGTTTAAAAGCTATAATTTTTTCCAGATTACGCGGATCTAGAAGAGGATCTAGCGTCGAAGAAATTCGAGGACGAAGAGGAAAATGCAATTAAAGGTAAGAAACGTAATTATGTAACTGTATTGGAATGACAATGACTGTGTTTCGCACGCCCACGAACCCTCTCTTCCCCCCATTTTCTCCTTCTGTGCCGTTACTTAATTATAGATTAAATTATCTTCAAGTAGTGGGGTGTGGGTGGAGATGAGAAAGGCTGGGATGCGTTTTGAAAGCGGGTCAAGTTTGTATTGTCACCTGGGAAGACCATTTCCCTTTTTATGGTAAGGTGGATTATGTAGTGCCACCCGTACGTCATGGGCGCACCCGGTCGATCCGAGGATCAATGAATTTTGAAAATGGTCTTGTGGGATTCTTATGCTGAATTCTTATGGAAAGGGCACTCAAACATTGTAGTTAACGAGATGTTTTTTTTAATTAAAGGGGTTCCAGATGACCCTGCTCGGTACAGAACCATAAAACCTCATTTTCTACTTTAGATGATAAATATTTAAGTGTTAACCATAGAAGAATAAAGCGAGAACTATTAGAATAGTCGCGATCCTGTGCTAAAACCATGGGATCATCAAGGGTGAGCCGTGGATTCTAATGTGGACCCTTATTCTATGAGGAGGGAGGACCGTACCACCCTAAATTCGGGCGAGACAAAATATTAATAAAAGACTGGGGTAAGGTGAATGAAAGGACCGATTGACACCACGACCTTCATTAAGAATTAACGAGTACAGTACGTAATGTACACCGAATGCGTACCCATAAAAAAAACCCCCATCAAGAGTGTAATTATTCTCTTCGGTAGTGCTCCTTACCCTTGAGAGAAAGGCAGACGGAACGAATACACCCTCACATCTAGATAATATTTAAATGAAGGTGACCCCCGGATGAAGAAAACGAGCGCTCACGCCTACGAACGGGGGGAGAGAACGCGCAGTTTACGATCCCGAACGCGAGTTACATCCACAATGGCCAATACGCGAGCAATTCCGCGTGCGAGGAGAGGGGGGGGAGAGGGAGAGCGTTTTCAATTTCTCTCTCTCTCTCTCTCTCTCTCTTTCCGTCTGCAACCTTCGGACTTGTTTTCGAATGGCGGGGGCACGACATTGTGGCGCCATCCTACGGGACCAAATCAAAACATGTATCTTGAAAGGGAATATTTAATTGATGGGCGTGGATTCGAGTTCAAGGTTTTGCATCAATGTTGAAAGCTATCGCAATTTTTTTTTATTGTGGGGATGCACTTTTAAGCACCTCGTTGGCGCCGATAATATTCCAAAATGAGATAGCAAACTCTCCCCCCACCTTTTTATATATATTTTTTAAACGAGTGCAGTCGCTCTCTCGCTTCTGTTCAAACAATGAGTGCTAGAGTTGAAATTAGGCCAAGGACCACTTGTTTTACATACGCTATCTCTTCTTCTTTCCTCTTCCCCCTCTCGATTTTTCGTCCCTTCTCGATAATCCGGCACTCCTCTTTTTATTTATTTATTTTATTATTTTTTTTCAGAGTTTTCTGCCCTGATGACCGGACGTGGGTTCTTACCAAACGTACAGACTGGTGCGGCGGCTAGGGGTTATGCCATTTTAAATAAAAGAAATCTTCACTATACGATTCATTATTCCGGGTGAGTAGACGATAAATCGAGTGATTTCGGCGCTGGTCCGGGCGCGTGCCGTTTAGCTTGGTTCCAAAATTTTAATTGTTTTCCGTACGTATCCACTTTAAACTCGCTCTCAAGGATGCTTGGAAGAGCAGAGTATTTTTTATATTTTACACGTGATAAGTCCAGTCTTCCGGGGATATTTTACCAGATCCTTGTGTGAAAAGGATTGTTGACGCTTCCTGTAATGCCCCCTTTAAAAAAAAATTGTGGTAAGATGCCTTTCATTCTTAAGGAAGCTGAACAGAATTATACTTAACAGAATAGCACTTATTCAGTGTAAAGCTTCGTTCAGAATGAGCTTGAAGTGAAAGATATTTTGTAAAGGGGCATCGCAGGAAGCATTAATAATCCTTTTCATACAAGGATCTGGTAAAATATTGCTGGAAGACAGCCTGAAAAATTGGACTTAACTTAATCTTCTGGTAATATTTTACCAGATACTTGTATGAAAGGGGGTTATTAATGCTTCCTATGATGCCCCTTTACAAAATTTTATAGTAAAATGCTTCTCTCTCACAAAATGGCTCTTATTCAGAGTAAAGTATTAATTCTGTTAAAGCTTCTTTGAGTGTGAGCTTGAAAGGACAGGAATTTTACTATGAAATTTTGGAATGAGGCATCACAGGATGTTAATAAACCTTTTTATACAAGGATTCCTGGAAGACAAATAAAAACAAGTCGAAATTTTCATGAATTTTTACCAGATCCTTGTATAAAAACGATTATTAGTGCTTCCTGTGATGTACATTCCAAAATTTTAATTATAGCACCTTTCACTTCAAGCTTATTTGCAAGAGCAGCATGCTTACATATAATTGATACAAAAAAATTTTAATTCTTTAAAATTAATCTAAAACATTTTTCAGGCTGAGTCTTCCTACTTCGGTCCGGTTTACCGACGACGAAGGCACCATTCTGTCGGAACACGAAGTCAATGCTCTTCCCAAATATGTAAACGAATCGAAAGTGAGCTATTTAATTCCCACCTTACTTTTCTTTTTTAAATCTTCGTTATTAAATTGAAAATTTCCATTTAGGTATGCGGAGCGTGGAGGAGTCTACCGAAAATTTACAGGCGTCTGTTACACAAGGATCGTCTGTACGTCGTCCTGGCGACGTCAGAACATCCTGACGGAGAAGTGGGAGGAAAACTGTTAAAAAATATGAGATTTAATACGGGTAAGTATTTAAATGCAGCAATTTACCTGTTGTCTGGTAGATAATTAAGTGGGGAGAAAGGGAAATTGTCTCCGTTCCCGAGTGAGTGAGGATACAGGATGTGGAACAATGACACCAGTTGGATGTGGGTTAATGAATCACACGGAACTTTTTCCCATTTACAGAAGTGTACAGCTCCTTGTTACTGTCTGACGATCTTAATGCCGGTTCCGGAGGAATCGCCACGATAGCTCCCGTCCAGGATAACGTGCACGTAATTATCGATTTCAATGGAGTGTTTTCTCCGAAAGGTACGCATCCGTAAGATAACTCGAGCAGTGTTTAAAGAGAACAGTTACATTACCGAACTCGTTTGTAGATTCCCACAATGTTGCAGTATTTATCAGGATCAACAACAGGGATGACAACACACTGTTGGCAGAGGCTGTTGTCATTATGCCAAAAGTAAATCCAGTTAGTATTGTTTTTATAATACACTTAAAACTGCATACAAACTAGTGTATCCGCTATAATTGACTTCGCCTTTACTTTGCAAAGGAATATAACAGAGCTAACATGAAAATGAAAATGACCGACAAGGTGCAGAAGCTGCTAAGCGAAGGGAAGTTAGAGATGACGATTAATTCTACAGACGAAAGTAAAATGTTGCGAGGTCGAATAGTAGTGAAACCCACTTGTAATGGTAAGAGAAGTTTTCAAAAATTATGCAAATTTATCTACTAAATGACCTCATAAATTGCTTCCGGTTTTCAGTTTTTCAAGCCGTTTTAACTTCTGAAAAGTTGACGAACAAAGCGTTTCAAATGACAAAGCCCTCTGGATTTGTATTATTTTCAATAAATCCCGACGGGACTGTCAACTACAAGGTTAGGTTTCGAACGACGTTTCGGAATTAAGTTTCTAATTTTTGTATCCCAATTTCGCTTCATCGCTTTAATCTTTATTTAGTTGCATGTTGTCGACTCGGAACACGAACCTTCTTCCATTCTGTTTCAAACAGATGCCAATGAGGGAGTGAGTTTAGGAGAAATCAATAACCTCGACTTTTCGGGAGAATGGGTAAACGGAACGCTTCAATTAGCGCGTAAGAATTATCAAATAATTTTAAAACAAATGAAAAATTTTTCATCTAGGCAAATGGTACTTTTGCTGAAACAAATTCTCAGTTAATTGAAATGTTAATGACCGATGACTTGTATTTGAGTGTGTCCACCTCGGATGATCAGAACGAACTCAGAGGTAGAATCCGCCAGCGTTTGTACACCGATGCCTTCGTCAGCGGTGAGTTCTTAAATTAATTTAGTCGATACAAGAAAAATAATGCAGTTTGTACTCACGTGAGTTAAATCATTCCACAGAAATGCCGCTCCTACTTTCGTCTAAAGGAAATTCTTCGGCAGCAGGAATTGCTTGGCTGTCCGTAGACAAAGACTGTGTGTTGCATTACGAAGTGGACGTCTCTAACTTAGACCAGGAAGGGAGTAAATCTGATCGTCACTTGGTTGAAATTCTACAGAAATCTGATTATAATTCCAGGCAGCAGGTATTAAAAAAACTGGACGGAGACGAGGTAATTTTTGGAAATACTTCCATGTTTAGGAAGGTATTTAAGCAATGTAATAAATGCTTATATAGATATAATTCTAGGTGGAAGATAGGACCGAAATAATGGCTATTTACACTTTGAAATCTGGAAATAGTCAAGTGTTGGTCACCACTAAAAGTGGACGGGAAAAATCGATAGAACTGAAGGGAACGATCGATAAAGTAAGAAATTATCGAACTGTTTGTATTTGTGTATTTATAACAGATAATTTATATTGCACGTTAATAGATTTATGTTCCTGCTAATTGTTTACTGAGATCGGATCCTATGCAACAATCTACTTTCCCTTACATGGAAGATGGATCGAACGAAATATTGAGAGACTCTTCCCAGTGTTACTACGAAGGGAAGATTTTTGCAGACGGAACCCAGTGGAAGGCGGAGCATAATCCATGTTGGATGTGTTCGTGTCAGGCAAGTTTCCATTCGAAATACGAAATTTAACGTATCAAAGTAAATCATTATTAATTTTTGCTTTTTAATACAGAGAGGTAAAGTAGTGTGTGATTCAGTAATATGTCCTCCAACCACATGCAATAATCCCGTGACTTTACCATCGGAATGTTGCCCTAGTTGTTACGGTATGTGTTTGGTACGTTACGGTACTTTTGTCGCATTTTCCTTAGAATAAAAAGTTATTATTTTATATGTTTTACAGACGCTAATGTTAATGGAACTGCCGAAGAAGCAATTAGGGGGTGTTACTTCGAAGGAGATAAAAAATTCCACAGTGCCGGTAGTCAATGGCACCCTTATATCCCTCCATTTGGATTTAGTACGTGTGCCATATGTACTTGCCAGGTAATATTTATAATTTGTATTTTTGATATATGAAGTCATAGCTATCATTTTAACTTTGGAAAATTTGCAAAGCCCGATACATTGACTGTGGAATGCCAGAAAACCGTGTGTCCACCATTATCCTGTCCCGATCACAAGGCAGTTCGTGCAGATCCGCTGGCTTGCTGCAAGACTTGTAAAAGTAAATAGATTTATTCAAATTATGTTGTGTACTAGAATTATTTTTGCACTTAAAACTATTGTATTTTTAGACGAAGTAGTAGAATCCCCTCCTTACAAAGGCCAAATCTTTGCTGGCACTCTCGGAGATCAGGCAGAATTAAAACAGAGAGATATTCTTTTAGAAGGAGGTAAGTTACTTGATCGAAAGGCTGCAACTGTTAAATTAAAAACTCACAAATCCTTAAAATACTTTGACAGGATGCAAAACGAGAGGACAGATATTCGCTAACGGAGCCGAATGGCATCCAACGGTACAACCTTTTGGAGAAATGAAGTGCATTAACTGTCACTGCAAGGTAGAAAGACGAATCAACGAGTTCTTTTTATTTGGTGAGAGGAGAAAATTTTAACTAAAAACATTGTTTTTGTAGGACGGACAATCAAAATGCAGGAGGCAGAAATGTCCAAAACTTGCCTGCGACAGCAAAATCTATGACGAGAGCGAATGCTGTCCGAGATGTCCAGAAAATGGTACAAAAGCTCGTTAACTTTCAGAATTTTGTAGTACTTGATGATAAAAAATTTTCAATTTTTCCACAGGTAAATTGTACAATGAAAATCACCCATCCAAAAAAGAAAAGCGGAAATGGAAAATCAAAAATAAGAGGCAAATAAGTTAAACGCAGAGAATGACTTCTGCAATTTATTTTTACTCATGTATATTATGACATTTTTTAAAACTATATTATAAAATATATTTTCACACGCAATGGACACCGAAACGCAAACGTCGAGATTAACTAACATTATTTTCGGAGTAGTGAAGGTGATAAGTGTGCCAAAATGGATCAAGGTGCCTAGATTACCCGAAAACATAGTTTTTTTTTTTTTTTTGTAAAACCGACAATTTGTATATAGTATTATCTGGTCAAGCCAGTTTGTATATGTCTCATTGTGGATATGTGTAAGGCATTTATGCTGAAAAAAATTCTATACAGACAAGTGTGCCAAAGGTGAAGCTGTGATAGATATAATTTGGCATGATGCATCCTAACGTACGATCTTCTCATTTCTCGATCCGCATTTCGTCGGACTATCGAACGAAGCGCAAGACACTTTTTCGTCTCCAACGCTTGCCACCTTTAGTCTACCTCTCGCTTGCATCAATGATTTCCAAAGAGATGCACTCTTCGTTATATTTTTGTGTACGTGCCATCTTAGATTTTATAACTGCGAAAGTTATTTGCAGGTAGCTACAGTCTAATTTTTTTTTTTTTGACAGGGTGGAATAAACACAAACACACACTACAAGGTTTGTTTTTTTTTTAGATTGTGGCGTGCCAAAACGGTATAAATGTTCGCATATGTTAATTAATTAATTAATAAGAGATTGTTATACTGTTGCCTTTATATACTGAGAAAAAGAAAAACCAAAATAATTAAACTGTTAACTTTCTAGATTTGTTGTTATGGAATTTTGAGAGTTTTACACAGGTATATTTAATAGTGATGAAAGAACCATCACAGTTTTGTGTTATAATTTGTAACTTTCAATAAAAAGAAAGTGAATCTAATCCTTCTAAGGTGATTATTTTTAATCAGAGAATGTATTTCCAACAGTTAAAAAAAATCAGCTTTAATTATTCAACATAATATACAGAAATACTTTTAATCACTGCAAACATGGGACGAGAAAATAAAATCTGCTCTGAACCAAAACAATAACTTACTTCTGTACAGTCAACATAAATTAAACTTCGAAAGATTCGAGTAAAAATAAACTATTTGGCCTCCTCCGAGACTTTATAGAATTTTACGTAAGCTTTAACGGAGACTACCGACTCACTTCCACGCGGCTCTTAGTGCCTTCACGGCCGCTAGGTGTTTTGTGGCGTAGGAAAGTGCCATTAATGCTAGGAGAACGGCGGATATCAGTATGTGATCGAAGTCATCTTTTAAAATGTCAAATGTTTTGGATGGTGTTACTCTAGTGTACAAGAGATCTACAAAACAACGTTTGGAATTACTACTATAAAATAGAATTTGGGTAACATAAGCTAGATTAAACTTACCCAATCCATAAACGAACACCAGACACGTGGACTCGAGTCCCGACGGAGCCGTCTGAATTCCTCGGATGTGGTGCACTGTTTGATTGTAGTTAATGATGCCTTCGGATGGAATGGGTAATTCGGGAATGTACGGTATCAGACCTTCTTCTCTAAAAAATTAAATATAGAGTTACTGTAACAAATCAATAGTAGTTTTAAAAAAACACGAGAAAATCGAGGCATAATTTGAGTCTCTGTCAAACTTTTATGTTATTTATAATTGTAGGTTATGTGAAGACTGAATGAAAAGATTGTTTGCTTTTTTTTGTGTGTGTGAGAGCATCTTGCAGTGTAAGGATTACTCAGACAATCATATTGTATAAAAGTACAGAACTTTATTGTCTGTGACAATTAAACCATAGAATTTTTAACTTATGACAAACCACTCCATATCGGACCATTTTTCATAAGAAAATAAAATTTCTTTTGTTATATTTGTTCTTCATTTCTATACGTGGCTTTTGGAACTTTATAGATGATGGAAAACTAGCTTATCCGAGCAGTTTAAAATTCCAGAGCATGTAATGTACAAACCACAAAGTATAATATACAGAGACCAAACTCCTCACTTAACCAGAAATAACTACAATATCTGTTGACCACTGTGCCACGAAACTATGTAACACAAGTAACATTTATGTTAGATTTCGAGTAAGTTAATTTACCTTCAAATGCACAGGGCTCGATGTTTTACCCAAAACAGATTTAGTTGCATTGTAGTGAATTTGCATAACTGAATGATTATCATGTTTACATTAAGGGAACTTGCATCTGCAGTAAAATAAAAAACAAAATCAATTAAAAGCACTTTGCACATTCTAGGTTACCCAACAGGCATATTGCACTGCCATATCCCGTCAAACCACATAAAAAGTATTGGAGCATGGTTTATCGAAGCTGCATATATATGTATATTGAATCGGCGTTTAATATTTTAATGATGGTAATTTTATCACAATATTGAGGTTTGTGGGAATTACAACACTTCCTCGATATGATTTTCAAATCTGGTGTGCGATCTTTACGTGGAATTTATTTACAATAAAAGCTTACTAATCTGACATCCAATCAATCCAAATGTCTGGTGAAATGGGACCTTCTGAAAATTAGCCATGCTAACATTCTGCAAATCAGAATTTGTTTCAACACTAAAGATCCCACAGATGGAAATACAGTACATATTGGAAAATAAATACAAAATTTAAAATAGAATTCTTTTTGGAAGATCCTGTATTATATGCACAGAAAACATTGCTACTGTTGATTTTGTTCAATAATGATATTCATTGGCATTTTTAATATCAATATAATGTAAATAAAGTGCTTCACTTCAGACTCGTTAGTATGCATGCACAAACAAATCGAAAGCAAATAACAGCATGCTCTGGTACAAAATGTACAGCAACGTATACAACATCCACTACTGGTACTACTCTAGCCCTGTAGATACCTAATTAACAAGATACTGCACCATTAGCGAGTTCTACCAATTGTTTGTAAGGAAATTACTATGCACCCTGTATACATGTATGTAGTCAAGTCCTTATACACCCACAAAACTAACAGGTGTAAACGTGATGTATAAAATGACCGTGTGCTACAAGACAAGACCACTTGTAGTGGCTAGGGTTTCTCAAATGGGATTCCGGTTGTTTTCTTAAACTGGGAAATCCCGCAAATTTCTTAAAAGTTCACTTTTTTCTTATTTTGTGTTAAGGTTGACGAAATTTTGCAAATAGAAAGTATAATTAACTCATAAACTGTTAATAAAATACAAATGTATTCTTATTTTAAACCTACTTATTAGTTTTTTAAATTTTTGCTCATTATGGCATGTCACAAATGGTCAATAATCGATACATAGCTTATTTGTGGCAGGACTCCGAAAATTCTTTACTTGTCAGAACCTGTGATATCTGGAATAATTGTGCTGTCATAATTTTTAACCATGCCCAGTAGCTTCAATAACTGTGTAATGCCAGATTGTGCAAGGATACAAATGAGTATGAAGTTTTTCTTCATAAACCTGATTATTAAAGACAAACAAACTGACAAATTATTGGGTCATAAGCTTGACGTTTCTATTAAAGCAGCCGAGGTAGACAAATCAAGAATACTAGAGAGCAAAAGAAGTACTACAATTACTAGAAATCTTCCAGGCTACAGGTGAAAAATGCATAATATTTGTCTTCTCTTAAATGCATTAAACACAATTCCGCTCGCATCAATTGAATCGGAAAGGGCATTCTCGGTAGCGGGACTTTTCATTGCTAAAATACGAATCAGATTGAGTGGTTCGGAGTATTGACCAACTTTGCTTTTTAAATTCTTAATACAAAATATTATTGTAAATTTTTATATGTTTTACTTAAAAAACAAAAATTACCTTCTAAGTTAGAAGCTTAATCTAAGTTCATTTTTTAAAAATTTTCAACTCAATTCAAAGCATTTTTTTTTTGTTGTTGTTGTTGTATGCAATTTCCACAAACTTTAATAAATTTTTTTCTATTTGTGAAAATTTCTATGTAATTCAAAGGTAATTTTTAATATGTATCATATCTTACACAGCATTATTAATATGATTTTGGAGGTAGCAGAACATATTAAATTACTTGAAATCAAATTAAAAAATGAAAAATAATTATATCAAGATATTTTGTATATCTTAAAAATAATTAATTCTATCCCAGGATCCTGGAAAACATTTCACTTTTTCCCAAAATCTGGGACAAGAAAAAGACCGGGAAATGAGAAACCCTAGTAGCGGTCCCTAGCGATAAAATTCAAAGTTGGCACTCCGTCTCAAACAATGCACAATATGGAAAAAAAGTCGATTACAAAGTTGTAAAGCACCACCGATTTAGTACGAAAGGACACGCTGCATACGTAAATGGTACGAATAGAGAGCTAAGATTAATGTCCATGTCAAGCACAGGCGGTAAAATGTGTATTTCTCACATGTTCATTCATATATTCTCATTCAGTTCTCGTGTGTTTGTTTATATCAATAACATAGAATAACTAGAAATGCATGTCTTCATGCTGCATTTATTACTGCAAGTCATATGTTCTGCATCACTTGAATGTCAGTATAAAAGGACCCTACTGTATATTTTAATGTTAAATTTACAACATAAAATATTACTGATTTTTATAACAACAAGGTATTTCAACCTTGTAAAGTAAAATTTATGGAAAAAAAAAAACATAATATCAGATGTTTGCTAGATGGGAGGTTAAAGGTATCTCTCTGCTACTCTATTCCGAGTTTGTTCACAAGAATGATCTGGAATCAAAGTTTTCATTGGGTTTAAGTTGCAAGGATCGGAGCCTGATAAACTGGGCCTCAAATATTAGGTTCCAATCCTTGTCACACAAACCAGTTTTGTGTATGATGTAAAAGCACAAGTTCTCACAAACAAGTACAAAAAAATATATATATAGGGAAAAAACCAAATGTAATATTTTTTTTAATTTGCTAAAATTATTTCTTAATCTCTTAAAAAAGAATAAATATGGTTAATGATAAAAATTTCTGGATAATTAAATTATTTCTTTTGTTTTTTTCCCTGTGGACACCAAGAGAGCCTTATTTCCCATGCCCTTTGTAGATTTGGCCAGGCCCACAATGGGGGCTGCAGAGTAGTGAGAGAGGAGACGTATCCAGGATGAACCACCCCTGAAAATTCCCAGGGATGTTTCCCTGGATTCGATTCCAGGTGCCCAAACACATAGGGAGAGGCAGTGTCTAATAAAAGTAATAAAAATTTATACAAATCAAAGTCTAATTAGATTTATTTTTATTCGTACGTTACTTGGCTACTCAATGCAAAGTTTTCCTTTAGCTATTTTTGGAATTATATTAGAATAATTACTTTTTAGGATAAAAAATAAATTCATAAAATGATACAGGATATTCAAAAAGTTTCTTTGCAGTGAGAAATTTGTAATGATGCAAAAGTTATACTTACGGCATTGCATACCGGACCTGCAATACCGCAAGATCGACCGGTACCGAATGGACAACTTACACGTCTCGCGTGCAATGCCACACACACAACTTTAACATCATTACAAATTTCTTGCTGCACAGTAACTTTTCTGACACCCACATATTTTTTACATGGCATAAAATTAACTGTTAATATTTCTCAATTGATAATTATGAAATGCTCGACTTTTTAAACTATACACAATTAAAATTACGTGTTTAACATCATTCAAATATTTCTGACATCTTTGCCTATTTTAGCAGATTTTAAAAGATACTGAACTACTTAAACTGTAACAAACTTGACGACCTTATTCTGTATAATATTTTACAGGATAAGGACGTATAAAATTAGGGCAATACATAATGAGGGTATGATGTTCAAAGACTGAATTAATACCTTCAAAAATATTAGAACACTATAAATGTGACTAAAGAAGGATGTCAATAAACAATGTGACATTTGAAATGCATTTCATCAAGTAGATGTTAGTGAGGCAAGATATTTTAGTCCTTATACAGATCTATTAGTTAGTCTATATCATTTTGTTTAAAGATTTTAAAATATTAGAATACATTTATTATGCTAAGCAGGGTGTCCGAAAAGTTACTCTGCAGTGGAAAAGGTTTAGTAAAGCTTTAGTAAAAGTGAAGTTCCTTTGGAAACATCCAAAGAAAACCCCAGATTGGAGGTCTCGTTTTAACCCAAAATCCCAGATTGGGGTCTCTGGGAAACGTCCTTCGGAGAACCCAAAATCTGGAAGAGCGAGATCCGGAGACCTAACAGGCTGGATTTAACGGGAGATTGTGTGATTGCTGTTTTTGGAAGACTTCTTTAGCAATGTCTTCAAGCAAGTAATAATCGCTAGCTTTGTTTTAATAAAGGGCTTATCTTAGACAAAAGAAAATACTTTAAATAAATGTGAAAATTTTGCTTTAAAGACGAACATATCGGCAAAATTTGAAGAAAAAAAAAAAAAAATTTAAAAATCAGATAATCAAGAATCAATTGATAAACTAATTTTTTAGAAAAATATATTTTTACAATAAAAACGAGATATATAAAATTGATAGTAGTTGCAGGCCATGATGGGCCTGCCACTCCAAGGACATGGGATTGAAAAAGTCCAGAAATTTTTCAAGGGTCTGTCCTGGATATTTTGGGTCCCATTACTCACCATTGAGTTTCTGGCCCACACAGTTAATAAAAAAAAAACCAAATGCCTATTAGTAGAGTCCAGAGGGTAGAAAAAAAGAAAATAATAATAGTAGATGTTTTAATTTTAGAGAGCGAAAAGTGTAACAAAATATCTTCTGATTTTAATTCTTTTAACTGGTAAAAAATTAATATCATTGGAGTTAGATTTAAACAAGCGCAGCTTGCAACTTAGCACTAAAATATCCAAATAATAAATTCTGTAGAAATTTCATTGGAAATATTTAGTTTTAAAACCACACAATTTCAACAATTCGATATACTAAAGTGGATACGAGTTTAGATGTTTAAAAGACAATTCAAGGACGGCCGAATCACCAAGCAGTTAAGGTGGAAGCCTGCCACTCCAGAGAATCCAGGGTCAAATCCAGATGGATTAGAAAAAAACCCCAGGTATTTTACAGGGGAGATTACTTGTTCCCTGTAAAATACCTTTCGTCCGGATACATTGGACCCCATTCCTCACCACTCGGCCTTCCAATTGTGGGCTTGCTAAAAGACCCTCTGATAAAAACTGTCTGAAAGTAGTAAAATATTTTAAAATATTAATTATATTATTTCTATGCAACATATAACGACTACTGTACGAGTAAATAATTTATTGACTATGAAAACCTACATAATTACTCGATTCCTTCGAATCATATAACGACTACTGTACGAGTAAATAATTTATTGACTATGAAAACCTACATAATTACTCGATTCCTTCGAATCGTTTGATCGACGAATCGATTTAGAAGTCAAAATCATTCATTGAATCATTCATTTATTTACAAATTTGCCTTTCTTTTGAAAATTTTTTTCTCATAATGATATGAGTCAGTAGAAGTCACCAAATCAATGAATCATTTCATTCAGAAACCGAATTGAAAAACAGCGATCCTCCAGGAGGAACCGAATCCAGGNTTGCTAAAAGACCCTCTGATAAAAACTGTCTGAAAGTAGTAAAATATTTTAAAATATTAATTATATTATTTCTATGTTATATGTTGTTCTAATTGAATTAACAATAAAGACACGGAGTGTCTGAAAAGTTACTTTGTAATGGTGTTTAAGTTATACATATGGCATTGCATATGAGACCCATCAGTTGTACAGTACATCCCATGTTTTCACTTTGCAACAGACAATGTAGACATTCTGGATTTCAACTACAGCTTCTAGAAGACTTCTTTGCTGATTGTGTAATCTCCCGCATAATCTGAATCTCTAGGTCTCGGGGCCTCAATTGCCCGGGTTTTGGGGCATCCGGGAGTATTTTCGGCATTTACTATAGCAGAAACTGCAATATCATACATAAAACTTCACTTTTATAAAAACTTTAATTATGCCTTTTCCACTGAACAGTAACTTTTTGGACACACTGTATTTGTTTTTTATTCTTTAAGTATAAATCAATACATGTATTATTTTTCTGGACATAAAAAAATTCGCTATTAATAACTTGCTATAACAGTTATAATATTGCTATTTAAAATAGTTATCTTAATATCTCATTATAAAAAAGTATATGTACATATTTAATTTTGCATTGTAAACAGAGGCAAACATTTATCTGTTTGCCTCAAGTGAAGAAATAGCCAGTCATGGCTCCGTTGGGAGGAAACGTGTGCAATATTTACAGAGAAGCTTCCTAATACCACTATTCTAGCAATAAAATTTCTAATATTTAGTGTAATAAAAATTTTTAAAAATTATTTCTTAATCTCACTGCGCGAGAGAGGAGCAATTTTTAAATGGAATATCCTGTATAATTCGTTCTTTTATAATAAAATAAATGTGCAAACATTGGAAATGTTTAACCTAAAGCACTGTAGATTAACATATTATTTGTTTGAACTTTTCAATTAACCTTAATCTCTTTATAATTCATTTTTTGTTTATTAAACAAGTTATTTATAGAATTATTATCAGAAATCTAATAAGACAAATTTGAGGAGACTTCGCAGGTTATGTGACTAAGTGTGACGCAGTTATTTAAGTTCTTTTATAGCATATCAATTTATCAGTAATTATCGTTATCTGAACTATTTTGATTTAATTATTTATTTACTTAATTATATTTGACTAAAATTATTATATTAGCATTATATGAGGCCATCATGGTGATGATTGACTCTCTTCTAATCTAAGTATAAAAGGTTTTATTTGTTAGATTTCTTTTTCAATTCATTTCATGGTATTTTTGTTCTGGAGTTTTTAATATACGGGATCTTCCAAAATGAATTCTACCAATTTAAATTACTGTAATTATGTTAATTATTACCCGAGAAGTATGCGATGTATGACAATCCGTAGACTAACCTAGAGTTATGTTCTAAGAAATGTATCATTAAACAAACATTGTAGAATATACTTAGATAAATGTTATAAGCGTCTACTAGTCATACTGACTACATATAACAACTGTAAACATAACAATAAATATTTACATATATAAATATAAACTGCTACAAATTTTTCAGCTCCACTGTATTCTTATGGAACCTCCCTCAAATATGCAATTTTTTGTTAAATGATGAATACCCGTAAATGTCTGGGATATACTGTTAAATAAATATTGTTTCCAAGGCGATTCCAACACACAGTACGTTAAGTAAACTAAAAATTACACTCTCGTTACTAAATAAACACCAATTATCTACTAAACTTAGGAATTAAATCATTGCAGAAGAAACGTTTTCATAAATGACTTATATTATTTGTAATATAATTTACCTGTGTTCAGATGTTGGATGCACAGGTCTTCTTGGATCTAAAAATGCTTTCGGCAGTTCTAAAATACTTCCAGATGGAAGTGCAACTAGGAAAAGAAAGAAAAAAAAAGAAATAATTTTTGTTAATGTTTTTAAATGTTTTTCAATTATTTATAACATTCTCATAAAAATGTTACTTACTGATAAGATGTTTGCTCGTCATTCCACGTTCGGTTATAGTATCTGCCATACTATCTATTACGGCAGGAAATATGTAGGTCTGATGTTCAATGATTGGTAATGGCGGTGGATTCAAAGAAGAGAAGGCCGTAGTGTTGCTCTGTGTTTTTCCTTCGTATAATTCGACAGCTGACATCTCCATCCGTCTTAACTTTTCATTATAATAACTATACTATTAAAAAAAAATTCAATAAATTCATTAAAATAATTTATTTTAAAAAATAAATAATTAAAGCATTTATAATTTCGGTACATACGACTGCCCAATTTTCTGAATGAACAATATGTACAGGTCCAGTTGCTCTCTTGTGTGTAACAAAATAAATAATGAGGCCAGTTACAGTGTCAATAAAGTACACATTTAAGAAAGCTGCAAGAGAGATGTCAACAATGATTTAAGAGTAAATATTTTGTTATGTGAAGAGAAATCACAAACTCTGTCAACTGTATTTTTCTGAAAAACCAATTTCAATTCCAAAATTTTAAACTACACACGAGAGGGTAATCCCTTCTGTGCTAACTCAGCAGTTTCTAATGCCATCTGATGAGGTGTGGGGAAAGTATGGGCATTCGAAAATGGCAGGTGTTCTGTCAATTTCCATGCTGGAGCAATACAGTAATGCCAGTCAATTTTTGCGAGTGTCTTGCAAGAATGCAAGAAAAATTTATAAAAAAAATTAGTGCTCTGCATTATGACAATGAACAATTGCCTCCACAAACAGCACTCATTTTTTATAATCACAAGTTGATTGGGTGAGAAGTTCAGAAATGGAATGACAAGTATCTAAGCATCTACACAATCCGGATCTATCATCTTGTAATTATAAATTTTTTTTGGCTTCCTCAAGAAGAAATTAGCAGGTTACCACTTTAGAAGTGGTAATAATGTGAAGACAGCAATTTGACTGTGGCTACATATGCAACTGACATTCTACCAATGCGATATCCAAAAACTTGTGCCACAATGGGAGAAATGTTTGGTGCATCCTGGAAACTATGTGGAAAAATTGGTGTCTTCAAAATGTCAATTTTGAAATTTTAAAATAACAGTCAGATTTCAAGAAAAATACAGTTGGCAAAAAACGATTTATCCTTATACTGAAGTTAAAATAAAAGAAATTACATTTTTGAGTGACATCGTTTCCTTCTGTAATAATGACGGCCAAATTTGGATTTAAATATTTGTAAAGGACACTTCTATCTCCCATAACACGTCCCTGAGAGTGTACATGCTCTAAAAAACAGGGTAATATTTTTAAAAACTTGAATTAAGATCTAAAGTATTAACAGTTAACTTACCAGATGGTCTTTTTAAGGTACAATGTACAATTTTCTGTACATCTTTTGGCAAAATAACATTCCACATCTTTGTAGCTTTTGGATTCTAATGGTTATAATTTAAGTAAGATTAACCAAATTTAAATTTAAGATTAAGTAAACTTTTACTCACTTCTTGAGACGAAAAGGCTAAACTATATCCTGCTAGCGTCCCAGAATCGATATTAACAGTAAATATGTAATGAACATCTTTATGCTTATATATAAAATCTTCGGAGGATTTTGGATACACGTGTACCTATTTGGAAATATAATTCTAAATATTAAAATTTAATATTCACTCATTATTATTAACTGAAGTACATAAAATAATAAAAAAATAATCATTCTATGAGCCAAATTTTTCAAAATATTCATATCAAATTCCTCTGCAAGTGCATAAAGTAGAAAATAAACTACGGTTTTTAATGCTTCAATGCTTCTTAATTTTTTATTGTATTTTATTTTGTTGTACTTTATTCATTGTTGTTTAAGTCTTGCAACAATAGATTTCCTCTCCTAATCAACTTTAAAACCCCCAATTAAAATAGTTTGTTGCAAGTATTGTTTGTTGCAAATATCATTGCAAGACTTCTACATTAGTAAAAGTCTTGCAACAATAGATTTCCTCTCCTAATGTAAAATAAATAAATAAATCTGTTTAACTGAAATGTCAACAAAATGTCTGTAACTCATCTCAGTATTTTTGATCAATCGTACAAACACAAGACAATTATATAAAACTGTACATATCAATGTATTGGCAAAGTATAACTGCAAATATGATCATTTTTTGTAAGGTTGCATAAACTGTCAATTTGACATAATAATTATTTTAATGCATACGTTGCTTGCAATTACATGGGAATGCAATACAAAAAACCTCACTACTCTGCCAAACCATGCTAATTCAAAGCTGTCTACAGATTGCAAGCATAGTATATTATATTTTCCATATAATATGGTCTCATTAAGCTAAAATTGTTAGTAATTTTAACTCAAACCTGTTTTCTCATGAACCATCCATCCTTTGACAGTTCTGCGATCTTCATTCTCTCTCATATTCAGTGTGAATAAACAATTAAGATAAACAAACACTATGGCTCCATGCCAAACACAGCACCATACTATTACACTCATGTCGACATTCCTTTACTGATATAGTATGCTACTGATGTTCTGATTAGGACACACAGAGGTGACAATGCACTCAAAAGTACAATCAACTGTATATCTTTTGTAATCATTTTGCAAACAGATTGTTCAGAATTGGCTCAAAATTTACTGTCAAAGAAAAATTTGAGAAAACTAAATAATGTTAAACACATTAATTCAAACTGTAATTCAAAACTGGTATTTTTTAACCCCTTAATTTCAACTTAACGCGGTTTTACTGAATTGCATTTATGTACTGACTTTAAAATAACATATCTACACTTTCTTAGAGTGAGATAGCTTAATATAGAAGATTAAGTTATCATCAACCTTGTTTAGTATCAAATACTGTTTAGTCAGTATTATCAGTTTTTGACATTCTAGCACACCTCCTATATTTTAGTGTACACTTAACAGAAATAGCCATACATATAAGCGAAAAAAGTGACACCTATGACTGCAAATTTAGTAGTATGTTTAGTAGATAAATGTGAAAAAATATTATTGGACTTCACGCTGAATATTGGATAAGCAAAGTTGAGAAAATTATCATCTAGGCGTTAATAACCAACATCTATCGCTACAAACAACAAGCGCTTTCAAATTACAACAAGGGCAAACCAGCATTGGAAAAAGATTTTATTCCAATGCTGGTTTGCCGTTGCTGTAATTTGAATTTGAAGGATATTAACTGTTCTTTTAACCTGAAGAAGACAAAAATAGTTTCGTTGAAAGCGCTTGTTGTTTGTAGCGATAGATGTTAGTTATTAATGCCTAGTAGATAAATCATCAACAATGTGTCAAGAGAGATCTTCTTCACTTCAATCTTGTCCATTGAAAGAGATATTACTGCATAACTGACTTATTTAATTGATTAATTCAGCAGTGCTAAAAGCAGGAAAGCAATTTTCTATGCAAATTTCTGTACATATTGAATTTTCCAATTTACCGTAAAACTACTGTAAACATTTTTATTCCTTCATTGTGTTTTACTGCTTTTTTCTATACTACAAATTTTTGTATTATAATTATGTTTATATTATCGTCATAAAATAAATCTACCCTCTACCTCTATCACTATTTTAATGGGCTTCAAAAAGAAATTTTTCCTAGGGCCTCATGTTTAATTCTACTTAATAAAAACTCAGTTAACATTTATCATCAATCTTTTTTCTGGTCTGGGCATTTCACATACTGTATAAATGTTGATACCTGCAAGAATTAATATTTTCTCTTCCATAAAGTTTCAATAGAATATAAATAAATTCAAGATTTCTTTCAAGAGATTTTTTCAGAATGAAACTTTTTGAAGTTTTATCTGGCAGCATTCATATTATATGAAAGTACAGTGTGTTTTCTTCATAATTCTTTTACTACAGTCTTTTTTGTTACATACATTTGATGATTAGTATGATATTTTTGTGAGACCTAAATGAAAAATTATTCAGGCATAATAAAAGTGTGATTAGGTGACAGATAAATTCCTATCATACAAAATGTTTATTTTGTTTATACAAAGTACAAAATAATAATAAATAATATCTCCAAACAAAAATACACAGTTGTTATAGTAAAATATGAACTCTAATATGGTAGTTCTTAACTTTTCCCACTGTCCAGTCCTTGAATTTTTAAAATTTACTGTAGAATATTTTTATTTCGTATTTCAGAGTAGAGTTGTTTCATGATCTCACATGTTTTCTTAGTGAACTTAGTGAAAACATAGTTTCATGAAACTATGTTTTAACTAAATTTAGGTACAACTAAGCAAATGAGAAAAGAATTCTTCTGTGTCCATTCATCAATATAAAAATAAATTCTACATTCAAGATTTACAACAGAAAAAAAAAACATAATTATACATTTAAGTTTTACATTGATATATTTATCAAGTTCTTACATATATTTATCAAGTTCTTACTTTAAAATGTGCAGTACTCAATTGGGACTCAGGAAGATTTTTAAAGTTTAAGAACTTGATTGATACTGGACCTTGCCACACACACATCAAACAATCTGTTCTCTTCACCAAATAAATAGATTGGTCCCTGCTATTGCAAATTTTTTACAACCCAGTCAAAATTCATGATGTGAGTTGTATCTCACACCTCCAGAGATATGTGCAACCCAGATTAAGAACCTCTGGTCTTATTAATTAATTAAATCCAGGCGAATTTCACAAATTAAACAACCACTAATCTAATAGATTCTAATATCAATTTTAGGTAGTGGCATTATTATAGTAAATGTTTCATAGAGATTAACTTTAATGATCCTCCATAAACAAAACTATTAATGTGTTTGGCTTGTCCAGGTTGTTGGAGGCAAGGGGAGGGATCCTCATTACATCGAAGTTTGGAGAAGTTCTGAATCAAGACAGACCCAAAAGCTAGGCAAAGGGAAAATGTCAATTGATAAGACTGGATCTCTCATATTCATGAGGGACCACACCGAGAAGGGGCAAATGGTGAACCCAAAACTGGGATATCACAACTCCATGTGGCAAGAGAGAACTTACATCCAAGATAAAAGACTTGTTACTTATAGTAAAAGAGAGAGAATTTGTCACTCATTAAAAACATTGTTTATTATTAAGAAAAGTGATTCGGATTAAATGTCAATTTTTCAGTATAAATTCTGATCAGACTGATAATTAACATAAAGTGTATTTCATAAATATGTTATAGACAAATTTATTGCATTTGTAATATAAAAATTTAAAATCACATTACCTTTAATTCAGAATCAAGTAGGAGAATAGGTCTTAAATGAGTCGCATCAACATATCCCGACATAGTCGTCTGCATCACTTTAAATGATAATAACTGTTTATCCATTATTTGTCCAGTGATTGGATTAAATGAGTATAGATAACTGTTGTTTGTTTTCTAATAATAAAAAAGTAAAACAAATGTAAAAAATAAAAAGAATATCGTAACATGAAGTTAACAAAACAAGAAAAAACCTTACTTTATCTTTTCCAATAATACTACATTGTGGAGAATAAGGAAAATGAGCTGTAGTGCGTTGGACATATAAAAGCAAATTACTATGAGAAAATGGTTCCAAGTTTCCAAAAAACTGACTCCAAACTACTTGACCATTTAGGTTATCAATTCCAAAAATCTACAATACAAAACAGTTTGATATCAACTTTAATGTCTTCAAACTCTAAAATTAAAATGTAAAAAGTACTTACCTTTCCCGGAATCGTTGCTACAACTATCACTTTATGCAAGCCAAAATTATCTCTTGTTAATTCTATTGTTGTCTTACCATCGCTAGTTATATCACTAGTTTGAAGTCCGGACAACGTACCGAGAAGAAATGTTTGTAATTGAATAAGTTGCGTCGTTAGACGTGTCAACAACATTGTCAATATATTACCTATTGAAATAGACATATAAATTAATTTACTTAATTTATTACACAGGGTCTTCCAAAAAGAATGGTACTATTTTAAATTACTGTTTTAATTATTAATTATTATCTGAAAACTATACGACATACAACCAATCAATAGAGTAATTGTCAGAGTTTCATCTCCCATCCATATTCACAAACATATCATCTACTGCTTCTAGGAAATGCATTATTAAACAAAAACAGCGACTCTACAATAGAGAAGGCCTTTTGCATTCTGTAGTTCACAAAATTGGTATCATTTGTCATTGTGCAACACAAATAATCTGCAGAAGCTGTAGAATTGTGGCTGCTATGGAAAGAGTGACAACAGATATGCAGTAACAAGTGTAGGAAAAATTTGAGTATTGGTTCAACGTGTGCCATGTGACACACATTGCAAAATTGTAATGGGCAAACGAGAAACTTTGACAGTTTTCCAATGTTTTAATCAATGTGCATTATATTCTCAGATAATAATTAACATAATTACAATAATTTTAAATGGTAGCATTCTTTTTGGAAGATCCTGTATATAATTAATTAATAAACATTAAAAATTTAACACCAACCATCAGTAGTTCCAAATTCTTGTTCAATTTTCGCATCGGTTTCTGATAATGGAAGATCTAAAATTTCGGCTGTTATAATAGAAGCAAGAGCTTCTTCTCTCATCCACATCAACTTTCCTGAAGTGTATGTTAAAATAAATAATTTTCTTATCATTATAGATATTATAAACCATCAATTACTTACCTTGTTGATGGAATACATGAATCGAATGATCTTCGGTAAGCAATAAAATTTTATAACTGATGCCTCTATCTTTTTTAGCATATGGTAGAATAAATATCTATTAAAATAAAAAATAATATATCCATAAATTAGTATTTTACAAAATTACACATTAACATTACTACAAGAGATATCGAATTGCTGGATTTTTCAAGTTATAATTTACTTATTTAAACTGAACTATTTTATATAAAGATAGGTAGTTAAACTGTTTCTTGTAATAACATAGTGTTTGGACACCTTGTATTATAGTACGTACCTATAAGTTGTCTATTAAGAACCAGTTAACCAATTATGTTCATTAACCAATATAATTGGTTAACGAACATAATCCGTTCGAAGACCATGTTTGCTATCCGAATTGCTCATTAACCGATTATCGATTTACAGTAGATTTTTATGGTAATTTGATTAAATCATTCTGGAGACCCCCAAAAATAAATAAAAAATTATATACATAGTACTTTCTTACTATGTTCATTTACATGTAATAACAAACTAAAAGCAATCTCTCCATTTTTTCATGGATGGTACATCTTTGTTTCTCAGTTGCGATTTTTATTATTCCTTTATCTGTTTGAGTCTTTTTGATTGTATCTTTCTTAGCTAAGATTGTATCTACTGTAGACCTGCTGAAGTCATCTGCCTACAATATCAGACATCTGCCCTTTCTCTGCCTTGGCTATTATCTCTTGCTTAGTTTCTATAGTGAACACAGTTCTTGACACTGCTTTTAGGCCCCATAATATTATCAATTTTTTAAATAAAAAGTGCAGAAAAGCACTTACAAAAATTCAGAGAACAGAAATTAACTAGTGCAAAAATGGTTAGGTATACAACTGTGAAAGTCTCATTCCATAAACCATGTATAGATGCCATTAAAATATAGTTTTACAAATCTTAAACATATTGTCACTTCTTCTTGTGTTTGTTCTGTCGGGTGTTCATTATCCGAACATAAAAATCTTTCACAGTTCATTGTCCGATTTGTTTGCAGTCCGAACTGTTCATTAACTGATCACCCACTGTATATGACATTACATACAACTTGCAGGTCTCGTATGCAATACCATACATATAATATTAATGTCATAAATTTCTCACTGCACAGTAATTTTACAAATACTCTTTATTAATAATTAAATTCAATAATTTAGAATATTCTGGAAGAAAAGATCAACCTGGAGTGAGACTACTTATAACTTCTGCTTATTGTGCAGATATAATACCCAGACTCATTTGACCATAATTTTCCAACCTATTCCAGTGCTTCTTGGTGGAAACTTAGCTGGTGATTTAAAATTGAAGCCCTTGTTAGATTACCAAGTGAAAAATCCCAGAGCATTGAAAGGTAAAGATATTATATATATGTTTCCAGTCATTTGGAAATCAAATAAAAATGCCTGAGTTACTGTGTTAATATTTAAGATTGGTTCACTTTTCATTTTGTGCTGACAGTTACGCAATACTGTAAAAATAATAATTTACAATTTAAAGCATTATTAATCTTAGACAATGCTCCAGGGCACCCAAAATCTCTGCAGAATTTATACCCGGAAATCAATGTTGTTTTTCTTCCTCCCAATATTACCTGCCTCATACAGCCCATGGACCAAACAGTGATAGCTACGTTTAAACTATATTATATGAGGACAATAATGGCTAAGGCTGTCAACTGACAGGGAAGATGGGCCAACATTAACAGATTTTTGGAAGAACTATAATATATGGAACGCAATAAACAATATTGGAGATTCGTGGGCTGAAATAAAAGAGTCGACAATGAAAGCTTCGTTGAAACAATTATGCCCACAAATGATGAGTGATTTTATAAATTTTGAAGAAACACAGGAAACTATCACAGATGAAATAGTTAGCCTAATGAATGAACTGAACTTGGATGTCAACAATGAAGATGTTAATGAGTTGATTGAATCTCACTCAGTACCTCTGTCAAATGAATACTTAATTGAGCAACAATGAAATACACAATGAAAGTGAGGAAGAAGCTGATAAAAATGTCAAGACTTTGACAATTAAAAACATGAATGAAGCCTTCATGTATCTTGACAAATTTTTGACCATCGTGGAAGAATGTGATCCCAATGGAGAAAGTATATCTCAAGTATGTAGGGTGATTGAGAAAGACAGCATGTTATAGAAATCTTTATCAAAAAAAGAAAAAAAGGGTGGTATTCAACTAACTCTTGACAAGTTTATAAAGAAAACACCCGAAAGAACTTAAACATGCATCGTTAACTTCATTATATATACATATTGATAAATAAATACTTTAAAACATAGTTTTTGGTGTATATTTTTTTACATCCCTGTACTTTTTAACATTTAACATTCGCACACACTTTCAGGAACCAATTATATGCGAAAGTCAAGGGCCGCCTGTAATACATACTTGTATAAGTATATTGTATTATATATTAATTAAAAAAGAAATGAAAAACTAATTGATATATTTACTGTTTATTAAATAATTTAATCAATATATATTATAAAGGTAAGTGTACAATGTGCGTGCTGCTAAAACTCAAAAACAAGTCCCAGTACAATTAAAAGAGTTATACGGTGTGGTAGCCCTCTATCCCCCATCCATGAAGAAGATTCCTGTTTTTACCTGAAGGGCGTGCTGTTGAAGATATAAGGGATGGAAGTTAAGGCTTACCCTGAAGAACTCGGCTTCTATTGTACTATTTTTAGATGCGATTTCCTGCATTTTTGACTGCATTTTCGTAGGCTACCACATTTAGTAGGGTACCACAGGGGGTGAAAGAAGTGTATTCCTTAACAATGGAAGTGTTAAGAATGGAAGTGTTGAGTAACAATGGAAGTGTTAAGAGAAAGCAGCATGCAAGATTTACAGGCGCAGATGCAGTTTTTTGCATTTTTGCAGAAAATTGAACATATTTTTAGACCCATGTAAAAATTCTCTAATTAGTCTGGAAATGGGGGACCTAATTCTTGCATTCTGTGAAAATGGGTAAGATTGGCTATAATGTAATTATCTTAATCTTTGCTATCATTACTTTTCGCCCGAGCAATGCCGGGCTCATCTGCTATTTTTCTATAAATGCGATATTTACGAGAACATACTTCCCATGTAATTTTTTCCATCTGTTGCAAAAATATAAACACTATTATCATATAAAAGCAATTATTATAGCATTTTTACAATATTTTTTTTTATTTAAACAAGTCATATGAAGTCTTTCGAACGTTAAGGTTAGCAATTTCGATCACGTGCGGGGTATCTCAACCTCTCTAACAAGAATCACTTTTCAAATCATCATCAATATATATTATATAAGTAATCTGGTCTGAATTATTTCATCTTAACTTCTTGGACTNAATTAATAACCTCTTCTAACTGTCCATTATGTTCTGGTAAATTAAAATTTCCTTCAAATTCTATTAGTTCTTGCCAATTAACAGGACTGACGGCTGTAATTTTCATGCCCTGCAATCAAAATTAAAAATATGTACTGAATACTAGTAAAATAATTCAACAGATTATTTTATACTTTTATACAAACCTCTCCGGTAGGTCTAATGTAAAACAGCACTAAATTCTTATCGATAATAGTTGCAGTCATTTTAATAACCTGAAAAATAAATTTAAAATTTATTATATTATATTTTTGTCCACTTTGGACGTTCTTGTGAACTAGGACTTGTTATACTGAGGGAAGAGAAAAACACAATTTTCAACTAAAATATATTTAATGTAACATAAATGTCTTATTAAGTGAACAGTTAATTGAAAACACAAGAAATCTGAACACTGAAAATTGAGAGAAATAATAATAAATATGTTAAGTTACCTATATTCTTAAAATATTTGAAATGATAAAGACAGTTGTCAAAAGTACAGGTATTACATTAATTCCAGAACAAACCAACAGACTTAATAAATTACTAAAGCCGAATAAAGAAGAAATGCACACAGGTATATTGGAAGACTAATATAGTTAAACTCTTTATAATGCAGTTGTTTACAAAATTACAGATATGTTGGAGAAACAAAAAGAAAGTTAAGGAAAAGATTAACCTATATGTAAGAGCAATCAAGTATAATTATCCTAATTCAGCATTAGTGGCTCATTGAAATACATATGGATGTGAAATAAATCATAATATTTTGATTTATTTCACAGTTGTTTAAACATCTGGAAATAATTTCATATAAAAATAAAAAAATAAATGAAAGTTTGAGCAGAACATTAGATAAATCTCGGTATAATTTGTTATACATAGAGGATGCTTCATCAACTCTGTAACAGAAAAGGCATTTTGTATTCTGCAATTTGCAAAGTCAGAATCACTCATCAATGTTTAACATGAACGATGTAATCTGCGGAAGCCATAGAATTGTGGCTGCCATAGGAGGATGAATATGCCTTAGTGAGATTAGGAAGAATTTGAGTTTTGGTTGTGTGTGCACCATGTGACTGAAGTGTACACATTGAGAAATTGTAGTAAGCCATGAACTTGGATAACATTTGAATGTTTTAATGTAAATTACAGCATTCTCTGATGATAATTAACATAATTACAAAAATTTTAAGTGGTAGCATTCTTTTTAAAAGGCCCTATATTTCAATAGAAACATTAACATTTAAATGTTAAAACAAAAATACTTTTTTTATTATTAATGTTGATTTTATAACTTTTTAAGTGAATTATGAATTTAAGTGAAAATATCATTTTATTTCATATAAACTATTCATAAAATAATATTTGCACTAGACTTAGCAATCACTAAAGTTTGTTAAATAAGAAAAATGATCTAGAGATAAGTCATAATATATAAAGTAATTAGAGAGAGGGCTTTAGTCAGCTACCAAAGTGAATTAATTTTTAAATAGTTAGTGGAAGAAGTAAATGCAAACAGATTCCTTACACCTAAGGAAAATGGAATAAAGTAGTAAATTAGTTTTTATTTTTATAAAGGAAATTGCTTTTAGCCCTTGATTTAAACAAATTGATTAAAAACCTACTACTGTGAGGTAGGAATAAGGACTTATCACACCAGTGATAATAAGCACAAACACTCAAAATATCAATGGGATACATTTAATAAAACGAGAATGGGTGTACATTACAAACTATTAAATTAATAATTGACATGAAATAACCAAAATGCATTTCGGACTATCGGAATAGTCCCTCTTCAGTTGGTATACATATATAAAAAAAGGTGAGATACTTAGAATTATACAAGACAAAGAAACCGTTATAAAAGTATGATTATTGAGTAATAATTGGGTGTAGAGGAACAGGCTTAAGGTGGCTTCATTATGTTAAATGGTAGCTTGACATGAGGGATACTATTATAAACAGTATTAAAAATTAGTGAGATAATATGATGATTGTTTTACAAAATAAGTTAAATCTACATACCATAACAGTAGTAAGCTGGAGTTTGAAGGTGGTATTGCTACAAGATGTAGAACAGTTATGAGAGAGGTGTGTTACAGGCAACATCTGGGGAACAAGTGGTGACAANGCAATTTCCTTTATATTTAATTTATAGAATAATTTGCCTAGATCCCAGTTGATATTTGAGCACAGACCCTCATATATATAATGATGAAATCTATTGTCTTAATACTAACATCTGGCTGGTAAGTGATGTAATGAAGGTTGGCCATTAAGTTGTTTGTCACCACTTGTTCCCCAGATGTTGCCTGTAACACACCTCTCTCATAACTGTTCTACATCTTGTAGCAATACCACCTTCAAACTCCAGCTTACTACTGTTATGGTATGTAGATTTAACTTATTTTGTAAAACAATCATCATATTATCTCACTAATTTTTAATACTGTTTATAATAGTATCCCTCATGTCAAGCTACCATTTAACATAATGAAGCCACCTTAAGCCTGTTCCTCTACACCCAATTATTACTCAATAATCATACTTTTATAACGGTTTCTTTGTCTTGTATAATTCTAAGTATCTCACCTTTTTTTATATATGTATACCAACTGAAGAGGGACTATTCCGATAGTCCGAAATGCATTTTGGTTATTTCATGTCAATTATTAATTTAATAGTTTGTAATGTACACCCATTCTCGTTTTATTAAATGTATCCCATTGATATTTTGAGTGTTTGTGCTTATTATCACTGGTGTGATAAGTCCTTATTCCTACCTCACAGTAGTAGGTTTTTAATCAATTAGTTTTTATTTTGTTACTTATTGCTGGAGTGGAGCCAAATCTAGTCACTTTAATGAAATCATCAAGAGGACAACTTCCATTAATTAGGACCAAGTCTACTTCTGAAAGAGATATATTGAGAAAATTGAATTTTATGCTTTCTAAAAAGTCAAAAACAACAGTTTTAACTAGAAATGTAGGTGTATCAACTTTCTTGGAGTTACAGAAAGAGGTGTAAATGATGAAACTCATGTTAGAAGAGTTATGTTATTAAAAAACATTTAAAAAGATCAAACAAATGTCATTACTGCAATAATAAATTACAGTAGAGCGTCGTTTATCTGAATCAATTGGGGACTGGGGTTGTTCGGATAACTAATTATGTAACAAAAAATATATTAACATATCCCATGTTTAATTTTTATCTGTTGCGTGTCGCTTTGTGTTGAATTTTCGTCAATGTTAAGCTTAATGTAAATTTTTTAAAATAATAATCATGGCTAATGTATTGTTAAAAATTATTTCTTTATTTTGTACAAACAAAATAAATATATTGAAAAATATAAAAACAAAAAAATTATATTTTGAAGTTAATCTAGTGTCAAAAACACTCAATTCAGCACGACACAGTCCAATTGGAATGCTTTTGGTTAACTGATGTTTCGGTTGATCAGCTTTCAGATAAACGACACTCTATTGTACTTTAATACAGTAACATAATAAATAAATTTGTAACTACAGTAATGGGTTCTATAATCATTTAAGTTTCCCTGAAAATGGACAAAAAATCTAAAAGAACTAGAACTTATGTTTTTATATTCTATTTTGGTTTTTAAACTCCATTAAAACAAACATTTTTCTGTTTCATTTTTAAAATTGTGGAGTCTGTTATGTATAATAATAATTAACTTTTAAATAGTAAAGTTTTCTATATATTTTCATTAATTTTTTAAATATATATTATCAAACTTTTTATAACAAAATATTTTATTTATTATATGAACTTTTTTTGATTCAATGTGTTTAGTAAATAATATCAAATCAATTATTAAATAATATAATTAATAACCTCTTCTAACTGTCCATTATGTTCTGGTAAATTAAAATTTCCTTCAAATTCTATTAGTTCTTGCCAATTAACAGGACTGACGGCTGTAATTTTCATGCCCTGCAATCAAAATTAAAAATATGTACTGAATACTAGTAAAATAATTCAACAGATTATTTTATACTTTTATACAAACCTCTCCGGTAGGTCTAATGTAAAACAGCACTAAATTCTTATCGATAATAGTTGCAGTCATTTTAATAACCTGAAAAATAAATTTAAAATTTATTATATTATATTTTTGTCCACTTTGGACGTTCTTGTGAACTAGGACTTGTTATACTGAGGGAAGAGAAACACACAATTTTCAACTAAAATATATTTAATGTAACATAAATGTCTTATTAAGTGAACAGTTAATTGAAAACACAAGAAATCTGAACACTGAAAATTGAGAGAAATAATAATAAATATGTTAAGTTACCTATATTCTTAAAATATTTGAAATGATAAAGACAGTTGTCAAAAGTACAGGTATTACATTAATTCCAGAACAAACCAACAGACTTAATAAATTACTAAAGCCGAATAAAGAAGAAATGCACACAGGTATATTGGAAGACTAATATAGTTAAACTCTTTATAATGCAGTTGTTTACAAAAATACAGATATGTTGGAGAAACAAAAAGAAAGTTAAGGAAAAGATTAACCTATATGTAAGAGCAATCAAGTATAATTATCCTAATTCAGCATTAGTGGCTCATTGAAATACATATGGATGTGAAATAAATCATAATATTTTGATTTATTTCACAGTTGTTTAAACATCTGGAAATAATTTCATATAAAAATAAAAAAATAAATGAAAGTTTGAGCAGAACATTAGATAAATCTCGGTATAATTTGTTATACATAGAGGATGCTTGAGAACATTCAAGAGGAGTTATAACTGTAGAGTGAAGTGGTGTGAGCTGGATAATTACCCTATGGAATGGTGCATTGGTAATTTGTTTAACAAATAAGTGATGTTTAAGTGAATGAAATTATGTTGTAATAATCAGGAAAATATTTAAGAAAAGTTTTTACTAATAGGATGCTAGATTTATAATTAATAAGGAAATTATAGCAGTAATTTATGATTAATTAGATTTATTGATGCTACAGGAAGAAATAGCAGTTTAAAAGTTTATTATGAAAATGTTGAAAGAAATATATGGGTGTATTAAAATATAAAAATTTTTATTTTTTAAGATATTTTTAAAAACTTAAGTGTAAATTAATGTGTAATCTTTTTAAATTGTAATTAGAAAAAGGTAACATCTGCATTGACCAAAAATGCTCGATTGTAATGGCATACCAGATTTGTTACATTAAATATATTTTAATTGGAAATTGTTTTTTTTTTCTCTTCCCTCAGTATAACAAGTCTTAGTTCACAAGAATGTTTAAGATGGACAAAAGTATAATATAAGTACAGCTTTCCCTTGATAATCCGACAGGTATGAGACCAAAGGGGTGTCAGATTACCAAAAGTGTCTGGATTACCGAAACTGATTACATATTTGGCATTGTTTTGCTAGCAGTAGCCTACAATATTCCCTATTCCAACTGTTCGAACAGAACTGCTCACGGAAAACACACAAAATGTGTCTCATCGTGTAAGAATTGGGTGGGGAGATTCACATCGCAACATGCTTCTGTGCAAGCAGACACGTAACGGGGACGGGTACCTTGACGGGAAGTGCGTCGGACTACTGAGCATGTCAGATTACAAAACGTCGGACTATCATGGGACAACTGTAATTAAGGACAAGAATAACAATAATAAATTTAAATGCTTTTTAGATATAATAACAACTACATAATACATAAATGATTGAAAATGTATTTAATTTGAAAATTATATTAATTCTTTTAACTGTTTTCCACAAAATATATTTCGTAAAGTAGATTACAAAGATATTTATGAAATTAAATATTTTATAATTTTAACTATCTTTAAACAATCATCAGTTAGTATATCCATCATATATATGAGTTACAGATTATACAGTGGCTGGATGGCTGGGGTGGTTATGGTATCTGCTCATTGTTCTGAGAGGTCCAGAATCATATCTGGGCAGATGAAAAACCCCAGAAATGGTCTGCCCTGAATATGCAGGACCCCGTCTTGCACTGTTCAGCCATCACTATTGTGGGCCTGGCCATCTTTTTAATTTTTAAAATATTTTATTGTGATCCACCATCTGAGAATTTTTTTGACATTTTTATATAACGAGGTGAATGAGTAACCTCGAATAAAAGGTCACCTCTGCCATAAAGACTTTTATGTTCTTGATGTTGAAGAACGAGATATGAAAACATTTTATTGTTTCTTCTGATTTGTGAATAATTTTTATTATTTACTCTGTTTCCAATAAGTTCAATAACACATTACATTACTGCCTACTTATATGGTTATGCACTTGCAGTAAGGATGAGACAGTCTCACTCAATGAATCACAGAAAACCAAAATCAAAACATCACTTTAAAAAAAACCAAAAAAAGAAAATCTATTTTTATATTAAACCTTTTTTTTGACACTATTTAATGAGTGAAACTTTCTTTTGGCTTAAATTAAAACAAAATATTCACTTGTTTCTCACATGGAAAACTTGCAAATTAATAAACTGTGTTTAAAAATCTTTTCTAAATTATCTCCATTAGATAGAAGTTTGATTGTCATTTTATAAACATTATCTTCCTTTATTTTTCATATTTTTTCATAGATTTATTATAAAATAAAAAATATTAGTTGTCCAAAAACAAATTTTATGTTTTTGGACATTGAAAAAGTCTATTAATTAGCACCCCTTGATAAAAATTGATCATTTGTGGCATCAGTATCAACTTCAATTCTATTTCTATTAATCAACGTATTACATCAAGTTTATAATTCTATATACTATTCTATGACAACAACACATGCTTGAATTCTTGTTAATTTATCAAGTTAGTGTTGCATGACAAATCATACAAATATGTTTGTCATGCAACACTTTTAAAAGTTTTTGTTTCAAGGTATGAATTATATTTAAGTGCAGTTACAGAAGAATGTATGCAAATATGGAGACCTACTGTATGATTTTATTTAAATTTTTCAAACTATGTAGATAATAATTATTAATTGATTTATAAATTGTTCTTTTATTTTGCATACAATATAATGAACATTTTTATTGGACAAAAGAATTAAAAAATATTGGGTTATACAGAGAAGCAGCTATTACAGAGTGCAAACATTTGTTGTTAGTTCAAAATTTGTGCTGAAACTGATCAAAGGAAAAGGCAAAAATGAATTCATGAATTAAATGGGTGTAACCTTGCCTAGGCTTATGAGTTGATGTATCAAGTAATTTTCTGCATCTGAAATTCTCTATCAAAAATCTACGGGAAAATCTGCAACTTGGCACGTTCTACATTCTCTGATAGAACAAGTGACTTTTCTCACATTTTTTGATTTTGGGCCAATCAAAATTATATGTAATGAGTATAAATTTGAACAAATTTAATATGCATTTGCTGGCTGATATATAAGAGTATGGTAGAAGAAAGAAAATTCAATATAAGACAACATATATTTAATTTTCTTTCCTCTACCATTTCCCAAAGTTAGTGTATTTATTTAAAAATTAAATATTAAAATGTTTCAAATAACTGTCTAGCTTTTATCACCCTTACATTTGATATTTTGTTTGGATAAACTTTGAAAATATTATTGTTAAATTTCTGATGGCATTTGTATTATCAAAATGTGTTTTCTAATTAAGAAAATATTAAAAATTTTATAAACATAATAAATTCTATCTTACCCCAGGTAATACTTTTAGAAGCTTCATGTTTGATGGTTGTATTTGTAAGACTAGATATCCATCTCTTCCTAATTCGATACATAAAATTGGATTTTCAATCATATTTTGAAAAGAAAGAGATTTTAATTTCAAAACAGCAGAATTGTCTGTTGATTGTAATCCAAAACTCTGAAAACATACAATGAATAAGATTAAATTCATAATTTTTATTATTATTTAAAAATAAGATCTTTTGACATACCGAAAGAGGCATACTGATGAAATTTCTACCATCTTTTAAGGAGAGTAAATGTAAAGTTCTAGTTTTTTGTTCCACACATGCAAAGTAATTATGGGTGACAAATTCACAACTAATTGAATAAGAAAATAAATAAATATATTTTTATTAACATATTTACATGAACATTTAGAATTAGGGTTTACTTTGAGTCAGCTTGAATCCAAGGTGCATGCACTTGAGAAGTTTTTACAGAAGCACTATTGATACTATGAATGGTAACAACAATATGAGAATTTTTATGAATCTGAACCTTAATGATATCCTTACTCGCAGAATTGATGTAGAACTGTTTATAACTGAAATATAAAATATATTTTTATAAATTAAAAAAAGTCATTCATTTCTCAATCTACAAAGCAAAATGACTATGATAACAATCATATAATTATTCATAATGATTTATTGTTTGTAAAAAATGTCAGCATAATAAATTTTAGTATCATAAATTTAAAAACTTCTATGTTCAATTAATAATTATGTTTGATATTTCAATAAATTATATTAATTAACATAGATTTAGATGTATGAATCTCTTGTGTAATTTTCATTTTACAAAATTATGCTTTAAAATACTTCTAAAAATATTTCATTTTCAAACTGTTTCACTTTCATGTATGACAGAAGTCCTGTAATAAATTCATAGTTCCTGAACCATTCTGTTTAGATATGGTTTAGACATGTAAATAAAGTCTTTCACAATAAATGCTACAATTTAAATTACTGTAATTATGTTAATTATTTCCTGAGATGTATGCAACAAATGCCAATAGATTGAGTAACCATCGAAATTCATCTCATGTCTGCATTCAAATGTCTTGTTGTCTACTACTTCTAGGAAGCACTGTAAATAAAAATGGCAACTCACCAACAGAGATGGTGTTTCAAGTTCCACAATTTGCAAAATCAGAATCGATCATCATCACGCAACACAAATAATTTGCAGGAGCCAAAAATTTATGGCTTGTCACTGAAGAGTGACAATGGATATGATGTTGAGCCTAGGAAGAATTTGAGTATTGGTTATTTGTGTGCCATGTGACACGAGGTGCACACTTTGAGAGACTGTAATGGGCAAATGTGAAACTTGGTTAGTTCTCCAATGTTTAAACTTACATTACAACATTCTTGGATAATAATTAACATAATCACAATAATTTAAAATGGTAGCATTTGTTTTAGAAGACCCTGTATTTATTACCTACGCTCCAATTGTATTATGTAGCCAATATTAGTATAGACTACACGATATACTTGCAGGTTTGTCTAAGTACACACTGTGATGTTTGCTTAGCATATTCCTTGAAACATATTCCCATTGTTAAGCAGCACATACTCATATTTAATACAGAAAGTAATTGTTTGTGATGCATTTACAAAGTGTGATAATTTAAGTGCCCACTTTTCAATTATTCGGTATAATATGCAATTTTAATTTGTATCTTTATATTAGCAATGATCATAAAAATATTATTTGCAATCAAAATATAACCGTTAGAAGAAAATATAAATGAAAATAGATAGAAGCCAAAATGAAAATTATATATATTGTTTTCATGCACATTACCAAAGCTCACATTACTTATGCTAACATGACATAGGATAAAAAAACATAATCTAAATTAAATAAATTAAAATTTTATTTAATTTAGATCATTTCAAATTTGATCCAAGAATTTTTAATGTTTATGTTTTTATATTTAGTTTTCTCTACATTTAATAATTTAAATATACAAGGTCTTCCAAAATGAATGCTAAACTTTCTAATTACTGTAATTATTTTAATTATTACATTATTACCAATTGATGAAGTAACTGTCCAAACTTCATCTCTCATTTGCATTCAAATATCTACCACCTCTAGGAAGTGCCATAAACAAAAATAGCAACTGCAACAAAGAAGGCATTTTGTATTCTGCAGTTCACAAACTTGGAATCACTTTTTATTCTTCTGAAACTGTGAATATCATCAAAGAATGGTTTGCCTTACATGGTGGATCTCTTTTGAAATTCTCTGCAAAACTCATACTGTACAATGAGTGATTCCAACTTTACAGACTGTAGAACACAAAATGCTTTCTCTGTTGCAGAGTTGCCATTTTAATTTATGATACTTCCCAGAAGCAGTAGACAACAAGATGCTTGAATGCAGATGGAAGATAAAACTTGAACAGTCATTCTAGAGATTGGGGTATATCACATACTTCTTGAATAATAATTAATATAATTACAGTGATTTAAAATCGTAGCATTGATTTTGGAAGACCTTATATAATAAATATATTTTTCACATATAGTTTTGGTAAAGATAACTGAATGTCTGAATTATTTGAGATGTTTTTAAACATGTTTCCCCTCTCAAAATATGTTTTGTAAATCTAATAAAGAGCTCTATAAAGAATATAATTTATCACAGGTCATAAAAAATACAAATTATTAATATCTACAATTTTTAACAAACATTAGAATAGAACCATTTATAATATATCTGAAAAACTGAAAAACTAAAGTATAAATATTTATATCTTAAAACTTCATGAATTGTCAAAGATTCTTCTGATGATTAATGATAGAATGGACAGCATCCTACCTGTAGAATAAGTTTAATAACTTTAATGTACAGTAATGCAGCACATTTCATTTTGCAGCTTTGAAGCAACAGTTAAATACATAACTTTACAATATGTCTGCTAGCAATCACAGAATTAAACACGGGAGAAAAATTCAGCCCATGTCAACTGATGACAACTAGACGATTTTCTTATAATACTTTTTCATAGGGGTGCCTGTATGTTTTTATATATTTATAATATGCCAAGATTTGCAATTTTCCAATAGTGACTCTCTAGATCTCTCTCACTCTGATTACCCTACCAGCATGAAGAGCTTATGTAATATTGGTATATTGATGTTAGTGTCATCCTACTTGCACAGTTACCTGCCAGTATCACCTGCCAGAAGGACAGACTACTGCCCATTCTATCATTGAAAATCATTGATCCATATTATAATCATTTATCTTCAATCTTCAAAAAAGTAAAATTTTGTGGTACATTTAAGGAAGAGCCAAATAATTAAATCACAAAGTTAATTCAGGAACTTACTCCAAAACAGGAACATTTGGCAATGTCATTTCCCATTCTAATATTCCTGTCGAAGGATCCCAACCTCGAATGTACTGGCCACCTCCATTAAGCGTAATTAAATCTATAAATATACAAAGAAAATGGGAAAAATTTTATTAATAGTTAAAACAGTAATTTTTAGACTTTCAAAAATATATAAATGCTCATTTTTATACAAATCTTTAATATGAAATTAACAAAAGCTTTGAAGAATACTGCAAATTGCTTTACACAGTATTTTAAAACATTATTATTATTATAAAAGTAATCTTAGATTAGTAAAAGCTTATTTATTTCTATTTACTACTAATGAAATCAAGAACTAATTTTGACTTATAAACTTTTTATAATTTAAAGAGATTTTAAAGTTGAAGAGAAATCTTTAATATCATGTAATTATAAAAAAAACAATTGTTTTTAACTATATTAACTAATTGAATTCAAGGTTAAACATTAAAATTCTAATGTTATATTCTAAAATAATGATCTTTTAGCCATTGATATTAGTTGTAAAGTACAGAAACAAATTGAACTTTTGAAAATTTGTATTTGTAGCCATTGCCTTGCAGTGATTTGTACAATTCTACTGAAGATAGCAGAAACACTTCTTGAAAATGTTTCAAAAGTAAATTTTCTGTGGACTCCTTGAATAAGATTTGGAGTTGTGTGTTAATACACATAAAGTAATTGTTCATAGTTATCTTAAATATGCATAAAAATTTATTTTATATTGTATTTCTTGTAATATTACCTAATAAAACTTTTATGAAAAAATAATTTATATAATTCAAACAAAGATTAAAAAATTTCTAAATTATAATCAAAAATATAATAAAAAAATAAGAATTATTATTATTAAATTTACAGATATGGTATATAATTTCTCTCTTTGTGTTATTAAATTTCTCTTTTTATCTCTTAAATAATATAAAATAACTGTTATATTTGAATGTAAACAGTTTACAATAAACTAACTTGTACATCATATAAATTTTTGTCAACAATCTTATAATATAATTATATATTAAAAAAAATTATTAGCTAAATATATAATTTATGATATAATCTTAATTCAGAAAAAGTCTACTTCTGGTACAAAAGCTGTATGTAAGGTAAACCCTCACTAATCTAAACGCCACTTAATCCAAACCAATTTTCTTCATTTTCTGCTATATTTTCTAGTCAAAAACAAAAAATATCATAGATTATTTTTAAAACACAACAAATAGATAAAATTAACGTGTACCAAATAGAGTAGAGTTTCTATAGTCTGTCACAAGCCCTGTGGAGTGTCAGATTATCAGATTACTGGGCACATAATCTGATAATCTGACACTCCCCAGGGCGACAATGAAATTTTTGTGTTACTGTTCGTCAATGTATGAAAGAGAAAGAGATTGACATATGTATATACTGTCAGTTACTAGTTGTTTATATACATGCAGTTGACAAAACAGTCACAATTATGATTAATAAAACAAACTAACCTGTGAACAAAATGCATTTTTTTACTGTACAGTATGTATGTACTAGCCCACCAGTGGCCGAGCGGTCTTTGTACCCTAAACACTGGGAGTTTGGTCGTGGGTTTGCACCGTGATCGAACAGGCTGGCTGCTTGGAGTTTTCCGGGTTTTCTCCTTGCCGATAACGACTAAATAGGAGGCCAGTTCCCCATAAAAGTCCTCCTGGAAGGCATTCTTTTCCCTCGCGTAACATCGCACCCCAGAGAAGGCAACGGGAAACCACTCTGGGTACTAACCTTCCCTAGTAACACCTTGGCGTATTATTAACTACTTACTAATCTGCGCCATGTGTCGCTGATGTCAGAAATCTGATATGGCACCAAGAAGAAGAAGAAGATGTATGTACAGTACATACAAAAATCCTTATCCCCACCAATCCCACGTTTGTCATGTTATAGATACTTTACCAAAAATTTTTTTATGTATATATTAGTCTGTAGTGTTTGCTTTACATATAACTCTGCTAATCCAATAATCATCATCATACAATAATTAGCTCAAATTACTGAGCATTCCCTTTATGTTAATAATACATTTGTTAAAAACTTACCTCCTTCAGAAGATAAAGCATTGAAATTCCCAATGGCACTTTTTTCAAGAACTTGTCTCCATACTGCAAAAAACCAAACAATTATAAATATTTACTAACAGTATTCAATTAAAATTAACCAAACAATAAATTTTAGCATTATGCATAAACCAAATTTTTAGAAAAATGAACATTAAGTATACAAAATCAAACAATAATTGCTAATTAATCATTCTTATGGCTGCAATGACTCAATCTTCAAAACAGAGATGTATGGAAATGTAGAAAACTTGGCACCAGAGTGTAAATCGAAACAACAGAATTCAAAGACAAGCAGTTTTGTTTTTATTCTGAGGAGACATCACAAATAACATAAAAAGAAACTTCATTCATTAAATATAAAAAAAAAACAATTTAGAGAAAATATGGCCAAGAGTTTTATATACTACATCATGTTCTTGACTTGTTTATCATAACATTTCATAGATACTTTCATATTTAAAACCATTTCATTACATTTCCTGTATAATTTGAAATAATTTAATTTGGTTTCTTAAAGTTTGGGCTATTATTTAGTTCAATTGAATTAATAGATATAATTAATTTTCAAAACAAAAGTGTGTTTCTCTCTTAATAAAATAATCAGAAATGTTTCATTTTGGACATTTTTTACATAAATATCATTTCAAAAGTAACTAAACAAATTTATACGCAAAGATATTGCATGGTTCTCAAATTAAAATCATATTCCATTTCTGACTTTTTGTATTCAAAAGTAACTTATGTATATAGTGCCTCAAATGCAATCACTTTCCACAGCAATGACCTTAATCTCAAATTATACATGTATGAATGTTAATGCATCGAAAATATAACACGATAGGATCAGACTCATTTAGACTAGGGCTTCTTAAACCATGGGTCATAGCCTCAAATGGGGGTGTGCAATCAAATGTAGGGAATTGTAAAAATTTGACAACAATAAAATTTTGTATTAAGTATTTATGCAAAGTGGCATTTTCAGCTTTGCATCTCTGAAAAACATTGAAGATGCCCTGAGTCCTGCAGTATCAAATATTAAGTCAAAATTTAATTCTTTATATAAAAATAAACAAACACACCCATCTTGTTAGTATGGAAATTTGATTTTGTCTTTAATTAATAAATGGCAATAAACAATAAATTACAACCATACTGGTCACTTACGGTGCCAACTGGGGACAACTTTAGAACCTGAGGCCCTCCAACACTCTTGGCCAGCTAATGCTTTCAACCTCAACATGGCATATATGTACACACATAAGCAATCCAAAAACCCGATTTTTAAGTGATGCCAACATTTCTTTCAAAAATTTTTAATTAAAATTAATTTATTATAATTATTTAAAAAAAATATGAAATGGTGATGTAATTGCCTACCTCTAGCCAATTATTTTACATCTAATTATTAAATGGTAAAGTAGTAGGTACTGTATTTCAAAGAAGTGTTTTATGATTTATTTCCAAATGATTTTTGACTATATACAAGTTGTCATCAGCAGTCATTGCATAATGGAATAGCATACAACAATTTTCAGAATGAGAAAATAAACATTTTTAAAACTGTTTTTTATTCTATTATAATCCATTATTATCTATTGCTGAAGATGACTTGCATATAATGGAAAATGTTTCAGTGAATAAAAAGAAAGGTGGTATCCTCAATTTAGCATGTAAATGAAAATTTAATTATGACACATAGCAATAAATATAAATAAGAACTGATTATGTTATTTGATTTGGAAATGCTTAATTTCACTGACGTTCCCTTACTTTGCCGACTTTCCAGAATTTGGGCACACTGTATTGTATCTATAAAAGTATCTACACAAAAGAATTTACATATTAAATCATTTTTCTGTACTGTTTAAAAATTTTATTCAAATGTATTATTTTTAAACACACAAATTCCTATGTAAAATTATAAACATTAAATTTATTAATCTTAAAAAATTTACAAAATTCTCCAATAGACAATACTTTAAGAAGCGTCTTCTCACTTTGTCTCTTTCACACACCAGGAAATAACAATCTCATGGCAGTGTCAATCTTGATTTAAAGACTTCTCATCTCCTCCTCAATATTTAAAATGTTAAAATCGTTGTAAGTTTAATGCTGTATATATTTTTTTATCATGTATATTGATTGTTAACCCGTTTTTATTTATATTTTACTCTTTAGTTATAGGCATTATTTTTGGGGATGATATCAATTGTCTTATGACATTTCCTTTTGCATATGCAATAAATAAATATAATCTTTCCTCTGGTGACAGCATAGTCAATTAAAATACATATATACATTTAATACAATGTGTATATATATATATTTTATTAAATGTATACTGTATATATTTAATGTTTTACATATTGAAAAGGACTAGAAACCTCTAACGAGAGATCAGCTCTATCATGAGACTGTTACTTCCTGATAGTGTGTGACAGGGACAAAGTGAGAAGACACTTTTTAAAGTACAGTAATACCCCGACTTACGCGAATCCGGAGTTACGCGATTTTCAAATCTCGTCGATTCGTCTTTTGTTTGAGCGCCACGCAACTCTTAATTACTCATTTCCCCCCACACTATTGTTCGGCTTACATGTTCGGACGTGTTCGACATATAGCTACAATTTATTTTGTGTTATTTGTATGTATTTATATGCAAAATTATACCCCGACTTACGCGAATTCGACTTACGCGGTTATCACTCGGTCCCACCTATCGCGTAAGTTCGGGGTATTACTGTACTGTTTATTGGAGAATTTTGTAAATTTTCTAAGTTTATACTTATTGTCCCAGCCATTTTATTAAATGAATATTCTTTTCATATTTTTTGTTCTAATTCAAATTATGTAATTTTATCAAAAATTTATAAACTATAAATCATTAAAATTACGACTTTCTTACAGAGAGCTCCGGTACGAGTATTGAGCATGGCTAAAACATTCTGTTCCGTCACCACAGCTAATTTGTGAGATCCGGTTATCAGAGGATCCAGATGTACATATTTTACTTTTCCTATATATTGTTGTCTCCTATTTAAAAATAGAAAATTAAAAATTAAGTTATTAATATCTTGAAGATAAAAGTTTATATAAAAATAAGAATTAACAATAATTATTCAATTAAAATTGCATGGGCAATCAAATGAAAAGTTTACTTGCAAGCAATGCGCTTGGAATTGCAGAGAGTTGTTAATGTCAGACTAACTTGTCAAGCGCCATTATCTATTTAAAGTTTCAAATGCTATCTTGAGTTTGTAGTGAGTTTGTAGTGATTAAATGTTTAAAATTTAAATATTTCTCACAAAACATAACAGAATAATAACAGCTCATTGCATCAAGTTTATTTATCTGATCATTTATTTAGTAATACAGTAAAATTTCATTTTAATGGATCGCTTGAGCTGCTGAAAATCATCCACTGCTCTGAGAATCTGTTATATCTCTAACAATGGATTCCCACACACCCAGAAAAATATTCATTATTTGAAACTCGTTCATCTCGGTTTGTTCTGATACTGCTTTTCTGCCTATTGAATACACGACTGCTTGATACTAGCGACATCACATACCCTACAGTCTGTTCATTTATGCTGAAACTTGTCAGAAACATCTTTGCGACTTAAAAAGACTCGACAGCCTTGCTCAATTTTGACTTGAACCAGAATCAGAATGTTCACTAGGTGCATCCTTCTCAATTGTATCAGCCTGCTGACTCTCTTTATAGAATTCTTCAATTGTACATATTCCAGATGTAACAATTTCATCATTGAACTTTACAAATTCATGGAAACATCCAAATATTAACTAAACATTGAAAAAAAATGTGATGTTTACAATAGATGGAGTTAGAAAAAATCCATTATTCCAAGTTACAGGTCCATTAAAAAAGGGTACATTGATTTGGCAAGACCTGGGAAAAAAGAATCTGTTACTCTACAATCAGTTAAAACAAGATTCTACTGTATTATTCATAAAAGCTATTTTATATATCCTGTTCTGCTATCCATTGGTGCACTGACAATTATCATAACAAGGAAATTAACATCATCACCGACAGTGTTCAGCCATTGCCCTTCTAAGAAGAAAGAACTTCCACCCTATAGTTAATAACATCTATGACTTTACCAACAACTCCAACAATGCCTACCATATTAACTGGACCCGCTCTCACCAGGGCACCATAGATATTGAACGCACTGACAACTTGGCAAAAGCTGCCTGCAATGATGGCATACTTCCCATTGCATCCACACAGTAAGAAGAATGCTTTGGAAAGATCATATGCAAGGCTGGCAGGAGAACTGGGATCAACACAGGAGTCAGTTGCTCACAAATTGTTTCCGAATATAAGTGATTCTTTGATAAATGGATCACTCCTAACCATAAGATCACCCAGTTTTTTACCAATCACGACTGCTTTTATAGTACCAGGTTGTTCAATAAGTTTTGTCATTTGATATGAGATGGCGCTATTAGGATCATCACTTTATTGTTTATGAAATAGTACTACTATTTCATAAACACGTGTCAAGTTTCAAGTAGATCCGTCAACTCATTGTATATTTGCAGCTGTTCAAAGTCAATGTGTCACTGTATTTTTTTACAATGGAAAAAATTGAATATCGTGCAGTGATAAAATTCTTATTTTTGGAAGGTGTAGCACCAAAACAAATTCATGAACAATTGTTAAAAGTGTATAAGGACTCTTCACCTTCAATCAGAATAGTAGAAAGATGGATTGCTGAATTTAAACGTGGTCGTACAAGTCTTGAAGATGATGCACGTGAAGGACGTCCAAAAAGTGCATCAACACCAGAAATCGTAGCAAAAATACAGCATGTGGTTTTGGAAGATCATCGATTAACTGAGAGAGATTTAGTAGAAGCCCTAGAGATTTCGTTAGGCAGTGTGAGCAATATTTTGGCTGAAGTTTTGGGTTACAGAAAGCTGTGTGCACAATGGGTGCCGCATTCGCTAACTATGGAACAAAAACACATTCGAATGCAACTTTCTCAGCAACATTTGAAGCGTTTTAGAAAAGATAAAAAGGATTTTGTGCATCGTTTCATCACTATGAATGAGATTTGGGTCTACCACCATGATCCTGAATCAAAACAAGAGGCTAAGGAGTGGTGTGAACCCGGTACTTCGGCTCCGAAGCGAGTTAGGGTGCAGAAATCGGCCAAGAAGGTGTTAGCATCAGTTTTTTGTGATGCAAAAGGAATTTTGTTTGTGGATTACCTCCAAACTGGTAAAACAATAAATTCAGATTATTATTGTAACCTTTTGGACCAGCTGGATGTAAAAATTCGTGAGAAAAAACCTGGTTTAAAAAAGAAAAAAATCATTTTTCATCAAGACAACGCACCCTCTCACACAGCTCAAAAAACCATCTCAAAAATCAGTAAATTAAAATACGAACTGTTGCAACATCCTCCCTATTCACCATATTTAGCTCCCTCTGACTTCTGGCTGTTCAAAATAGTTAGGCCAGGCCCACAACTAGGAAAACTGGATAGTCGGGGACAGGGGCCCAATGTATCTGGGACAAGCTGCCTGTGAAAACTTTCTGTGGTTTTTGACCACCCAATCCCGGGTGGTCAAATTCCTTGGAGTGGTGGTAGGCTGATGATTTAATAATTTTGTCCATTCGACTGTCAATATCTGTACTTTAATTAATACAGGTGTGATGAATAACAGTGGTTCAAAAAACTGAAGGAATTTTTTGAAAAATGTAATTTTCATTTCTACTTTACATTACTAACAATTAAATGCATTTAGAATTCTCTCATCAGTCAATGCAGAAAAATTCATTTTGCTGTCAATAATATAAAATACAAATTAATAAAAGAATTGCTGTTTCAAGCCCCAAGTTGATATCAGCATTAAAAAAAAATCAACAAACAGAAAGGTTTAAATTCTTATTAGAAATTTAACACAAAGCCTATAACAAGACAAAACGATAAAAATATGAAATTATAAATAATAAGAAACAGTCTCTAAATTTAAATTAAATGCCAGTGTAGTGCAGGCACAGCACAGAACTTAATATAGCTCGCTGAAATCAGCCTACTTCCAGGTTGCATACAATTGGGAGTTGTATCAGTTCACTGAGACTATTGCATTTAACATTTTAGCCCACGCACTATGCCAGCTTCAAGTAGCCTATTCAGCCATTTGTGGAGTATTCAATGATATGTAGTTTTAGGGGAAAGTGGTTCACCCCTGGGCATTCATTTTGGTGTTCATTGTAGCTCACACAAAAGTATTGTTAATACATGTGGAGCATTGGTTGAGGTGAGCAATAGCTTGCTTTGACTAACATGGAGAGTAGAGAATAGACAGTACACTGGTTCATCATAAAAACTGACCTTTGGAAATGAATATCTCATGATGGTTACACACACAGATATCATTCCACTGACTTTTTGGTTAGTTTTTACAATCCTACAACCTAGTCAATGTCATACTTCCACTCTTTGTATGAGATTTTGTTCATGAAAATTACAAGTTGTTTTAAATTTGCATATAAATACGCTCAATTGTATGGAGTTGGTTACTGTGCATGCATGGTTGGTATAATTTGATTGAATTTTAATTTATTTTTTTGCAGAGTTTGTATATGTGAGATTGAAGTTTCTATTTGTGACTTTTTCAAAGTGAATTATAGTTATGGCTATCTGTAGGCATATTTGCAAACTGTAGACCTTTTTATGCTGTTGCATGGTAAATAAAAAGCTCAGATGAGAGGATTTCTTTGGATGTGAAATTTGCTGTGAAAATGGGTCTTTTGTGCTTCCAGTAGTATTTGTGAGAAGTGTAATAGGAAGCGGTCTTGAAGCCACCAGTAGACTTAAAATATCCTGTTTATCATTGTAAGTTTTACTTGCCTTTTTTTTTCTTTACTGATTTGTAGTTTAAGTTTAGCCCACGTGACTATGTCAAGTTCAAATAGCCTATGTGACTGTTCATGGAGTACTTGATGTTATATAGTTTTACAGGAATGAGGTTGCTGTGAGTCACAATAGAAAGCACTGAAGTACATGACTACATGCAAAGCATCAATCAAGGTGAGTGATAGCAAGCCTTAACAACACAAAGCATGGAGAATAAATAGGTAGTATACTGGTAAACAGAAAAAACTGATCTTTGAAGGTAAATATCTTGTAAAGGGTCGCACATATAGGTATGGTTCCTTTTGACTTTTTTGCTTGTACAGAGGCAATTTTGGGGGTGGGAAACCTCTCCTTTAGAGTTCACATCTTACCATTACATGATCTTGGAGAGAAAGCACAGAGAACTCTCACTCATGTGCATTACCTTCTTTTTACCTAAGTCTCGTACGTAGACTGGAAGTGGCTTGTGATGTAGGGGAGGTTGTAGTATTGTAAAAAATAATCAACCTTTGTGAACTCTGAATGAGGGAGTTCACATCTTAACTTTACAATTGTGCATATACAGTAAAACTTCCCTAACATGAAGCTCCAAGGACCAGGAGAAAACTTTCAGTTACAGACAATTCAAGTTAAAGAACAAGAGAGTAAAAAATGTCTATTCTGATTTGTATCTATACCTCTCTTGCATTATATGAAGAATCTTTGATGGTTTTTTTTTTTAATCAGCCAGTGTAATGCCTTTCAGCAAACGTTCAACATAATTAATGAAATAGAACAATTCTGCAGGTACCATACATCTTGTTGAGATAAAACAAGGGGCTTTTTGGACCAGAACGTCGTCTGAAAATTGGCATTGGAGAGTAGATACCACTAACTCTCCGAAAATTTCACCAAAATCTGATAATTATAATCACATTGGATAGAATAAATATTAAAATTCTAGTCGGGGAAGTCAAAAGTAACATAAATCAGTTTTGGGAGACCACGAAAACTTCAACTCGGAAATAAGAAGTGCGACTCACAGCAACCAATTAACTGGTGTGAAAAGGTTAACATTTGAGCGATGAACGTTTCCATAACCCCTTCCAGGCTCTTCTTCGGACTTCTTTTCATTTCAAAACAGGCTGGCAGTTAACATTCGAATATAAAATCAAACGGTAAGAGATTTCGAATACCATATGCATTCCCCATAAGTTACTGTTCGATTTTATATTTGAACGTTAACTGCCAGCATGTTTTGAATTAAAAAGAAGCCCGAAGAAGAGCCCAGAAACGGATTACGAAAACATTTGTCATGCAAATGTTAATCGTTTTCACACCGTTTAATTGGTCGCTGCGAGTCACACTTTTTATATTCATCCTGGCACATTGCAAAGTTAAGTATTCGAGTCGGAGATGTTTAATCCCTACACCGTTCCGCCAAGACCTACCGAGTGCTTCGTTTTCTTCAAGTTACAAACGTTCCAGTTAGAGAAGTTTTACCGTAACTATAAGCACAACACACTAAAAATCTAGTCTGGATGACGGATAAAGATATTTATTTTAAAGCAGTGGTTCCTTAAGTGGGGAGTGAGTAAATCTGGGGGCAAAAAGGAGCAAGTGGGCAGCAGGGGGCGCTGGAGGCAGGCTACCAAATGTATGTGAAGGTTGGCATCACCGACCACCTTTCTCTTTCCTCTGTTAAATTGGTAAGAAGAAACATTGTGTTTTATGGTTTCTAGACATGGAGGATAATGTAACTTAAAGTAACTTATTTGTAGAAGACAAAGTCACTTTAATTACAAAATAATTTTGTTTTTATGTGTAATTATGTTACCAAATGCACATTAAAAGCCCCCAATACCATATCACAGTGTAAAATATATCTATTGAATATAATTAAAATAAATGCTTACCAATCAAATTTTCCGATTTGATCTTCGTATAACGAAACACTAAACTTAATTTTTATAATAAGAAAGAAGCTTATAAAAAACAAAAGCCTAAATTTCTTAACTTCGATCATTGCAGACGAACATAAACTCATGTATCAAAAATGGCGACGATGTAGTGTAGCGCCATCTTTCTAATATTATAATTTTAAATATTTTTTATTAAATTTATAACATAATTTTTTTTTAAATTACGATAAATTTTAACTATTTATTATAAATACGAGTAAGTGAAATAATAATTTAATTTATTTAATTAATAATTTCAATTTATTTTTAATTGTAATAGTTGGCAACACTTAAAAGCTGTTTACATCGTGGTTCACACGTGGTTAGTTACAAGATGTGGTTTGCGAGGATTTTGTTGAGATGTGAACGACAGATCAGATTTTTTTCTAGTCCAGACAGTTCACAAACGAGAAGAGTGCCCAAACTTTATTCAGATTATGAAAATTTAATGAAGTTATCTCCTGTTCAGCCTGCTTCGCCACGTTTATTAAAGGTTTCTATTATAGGTGAACCAAATTCCGGAAAATCTACACTAACGAATCGATTGGTCAAATGGAGAGTTTGTTCTGTTTCAAAGAAGGTTCATACAACAAAACATAACACATCAGTTGTAATGGTAGACGGAGATACTCAAATAGTTTTCTTGGATACACCAGGATTGGTTTCACCTGAGCATGGAAAGAAACATAATTTAGAACATTCTCTTGTTGTAGATCCCGAAACTTCTATCTTGCACGCTGATGTAATTGCTGTTATTGTCGATGCTTCTAATATTAATACATCCAAGCAATTAAGCAAAGAGTTGCTGAAACTACTACAACAAAATTCTAATAGAAAATCGTTCTTAATTTTGAATAAGGTCGATAAAGTTAAAATAAAACACGATCTCCTAAAAATATCTCGTACTCTAATTGGTGAAGAAGAGAAAATAGTTATTCCTAAAAAAGATAAAATGAATTTAAATGTATTATTCCAAGAAACTGAGAGAAAGCTAAGTAAAGAAAAACCTACAGCTGATGAATTAACAGAGATGAAAGGCTGGAAAAATTTTTCTAAGGTGTTTATGATATCGGCATTAACTGGTGATGGAGTTGATGATATTAGAAATTATCTTTTCAGTTTAGCATATCCGAGTTCGTGGATTTATCATAGTAGTGTCGTGACTAATCAGTCGCCCGAAGAAATTGCGATTATGACCATTAGAGAAAAATTGTTGAATCATCTTCCTAAAGAAATACCATATAATCTTGACTTGAAGTTGGAAATGCTTGAAGAGACAAATGAAGGTTTATTAAGAATTGCTGTATTAATTATTTGCCCACGAAAAAGTCAGGTAAAATTAATAATTGGAGGAAAAGGTAAAATTGTGTCTAAGATTTCAGATGAAGCGAGACAGGATTTGGCTAATACTTTCAGATGCAATGTATCTTTGAAATTAATAATTAAACATAAAGATTCAGAATAAAAATTTGAAATTTTGTTATTTATATTATGTGTACAGTTAAAAACAAAAAGAACTGCTCTATCAGCTGATATGAGATTGCATCAATTCTGTTGTTAGTGATAATAATATGTATAAGTAATATATCAAATTATTTTATAATTTTAAAATAAAATGTATAAAAATATACCAATGAATTATTATATAATCCCTGACAAAATTTCCTATCTAACTGTAAGCTAAACAAACCATTCNAATGTGCTCAGGTCAAATCTGAAATCAGCATTTTTAATTTTAATTCAATATATGCTATCTTACATTAGTATTTTAGTCAAACTGCATGTTACCTTATCCTTTATACATCACTTTCATCCACCTTTTGCTTATATATGTATGCACATGCCTAAGTGCCCTTAAGTAGTTTAGTAGATAAAGCAATTGAACACTGGTAGTTGATTATAAATTTGTGGAGTTTCTGGATTTTTTTCACATGTCTAATGTCTAAATAGGGGGCCAGTTTCCCTATAGAGAGCCTTCTTGGCTGATTGCCTTATCTAACCCACTAGCTCAAACCAAATAAATATCACTTAGCCTTATAGGAAAATAATTTAGAATAAGTAAAATTGACAATTGATATTAAAAGGTACAATAACTTTGTCTTGCTATTCAAGTATATACAATAATATTCCACAAAAATTCAGGTTAAACAATTTAAAAAGATTGCAAAATAAACTTGTAGGAGGACAGGAATATATTCTTACGATATGCTAGAATCTCTTATAACATATGAATAAAATGAATATCTTTAAATAATGCTAATGTTCTTTTAATATTTAAAAATATTTACTATTTGTAAAAAATTAGTAATCTAATAATCAAAATTTATGTGGTCTTTGTACTTTCTTTAATTAACTTACATCTAATGATTCCACAATATCAAATACTCAACTTTACCTTTCTGCTTAAACTAGAGCCAGTAACAATAAACCAAATAGAAAGGACTTAGTGCTTTCAGACTTTACTCATTCATTTTTAGATTCCAAATCTTACTATTCTAACTCCTATTCCAATATTCTTTCTTTAGAACATATCTTTAAATCTAAATGCTTTCCTGTTCAATCTAAAATGGCTCTCCATTTCTTTCCATTTTAGATTCTGCTTTCTTTACTTTTTGGTGTTTTTCTTTTACTCTTACCATTTCCATTTCTACTTGAATATGTTATATTGCTGAGTATCATGTTCTCAATCCTTCTTGTCTTTTGATGCTCACTTATCAGCTTTGCTAAATTCTGTCTCATGGTTTTGATGCAAAATTTTTAATGTTCTACTAATATCTGGTAGGCACACCTTCCTCTTAAAAACACCATCTTTTTATCAATCTTTCTCCCAATCCTCTGCCAACTCACATAGTGGACCAGTATTCTTTTATTCTGGTCTTTGTTTTATTTTGTTGCAAATGTTTTACTATCTTCTCATTCTTATTACTCTTCAAACAATGACTCTTTTAAACTCTTAATTAGGTTTACCTCTTTCAAATCTTCCATTTTTGATGTCATTACTGCTCTTTGCACTATGATCCCAAGTGTTGCTGTGATATATTTTTTTGCTAGAGTATATCCTTTTTTAGTATATTGACATCACATACTCATTCTCCTCCCTAATTGTAATATCCAAGAAGTGTACCAACACCTTTAATCTCTGTTCCTCCCAGATGGTAACTTAAAAGTTGTATAATTTTATACTTGTTGGCATTTACAATGTGTTTTTATATGCACATTTTATACACATTGTAAATGTGTATAAAAACTACAGAATAAAAAGTTCCATTACATTTGAAATAGTTTAATTATGCTGAGAACATGTTAAAATTTATACTTTGTTCCTAGACAAAGAAACATTACATAAAATACTATTACCATGAGCATCTGAAAGAAATTTTCCAGGGGGATAACCTTGGAGACATAATTACATCAATAAATTTTTATTTATTTAATTAATTTTTGGGGGTTTCTCACAAGTAGATTATAGATTACATCAATACAAAGTATCCTGCGTTCAAGGGTGTAAGATTGCATATCTCAGTCATTTTTAGGATTATAATTTGTGAAATTTGATCCCAGAGAAGGCCAATTGCCCCATTTGTTCCCCTCTGCAGAGGCCACGTGTATTACAATTTACATTTTTGCTGCATTCCAGCTGTGCTTTACTGAACAATGCTGAAATCATTAAACGCTGGTTGGCAGTGGTCACAGATTTGTGCCTCAAAAACAGAATTTGAGGTTGAGGCTGAAACAATAACCACTTGGAATTTTTCAAGAATTTCATAGCGTGTCTCACACCTAAATAAAGGCCAGTTTCTCATAGAAGTCCTCCTGGGAGGCATTTCCCTTGATAGATTGCTAATGTGTTGAGTTACCTTATTCCATCAATCCTTCCAACATAAAGTTGGTAGTTGTCAAACCAGATTAAACCACTTTTAGGGAGAGACTGTTTTATTTGTTGTAAATTGTTAACTGCAGACCTGGAGCATTGGGGCAGACTCCCCTATAAATGGTTTCAAAGTGGTTTAGTCTGGTTTGACAACTGCCAACTGCCAACTTATCTTGTAAGGACTACAATCCTCACTGCACAATGCTAGAATGCATCGTTGTCCTTGAATCATATCCAATAAAATATCAACCTTTCACTTTTTTTTATGATGGAAAATACATTGAAGTTTATTTTATTGGCACTTATTTCTTTTGCTAAAAGTGGAAAAATTCCATAATTTGAGCAGAAAGTCTTGTGCCATTTAACTTTAATATCGCGCTTTTTCTATAATAAAGAAGGCCGGTTAAAATGGCACACTATCTCCCTGGAGAACCCGAGATCGATTCTGTAAGGATCAAAAAATCCCAGGAGTGTATTGGGGTTGGTCACTTACCACCGGCCTCTCACATTGTCAGCCGATTTCAGAGACAACGTTTAAACGCCGACAACAGTTTAGAGATAGTGTAGACCGCGGTTCAGAAAAATTTTATTGCAGAGACGGCATTTCTCGCTTGCCACAGTTTAAACAGCGATTAGAAACAAGTTATTTGACCTACTTTCTAGACTCCCTCGATAGCAAGTTTAGACACAATTTTATTTCAGTAGAAGTCGCCATATTCATTTGTTGGTCGCAAAGTTTATGTTATAATGGATATTGTTCATTTAATAAATCTCGTAAACGAGACGAATCAAGAAAATCATTCATCTCGACAATTAAGAAGACAGAAAGGATAATAGGAAATCGGAATAATCCTTTCAGAAAACGAATTTCGAATTCGATATAGATTTTCTAAATCTGGATTCGTTCGTATTTTAAATCGTATTGACGACAAAATCGAAGAGGATTGCCATTAACTACGGAACAACAGTTGTTGACGACATTACGATTTTATGCCACTGGAAGCTTCCAGAGGGTAGCCGGTGATCGAGTTCACGTCCCCAGATTACGATCCGTTCTAACCTTTCTTCTCAACTGTAGGATAATTTTTTATAACTTCCGCGAGGACACTTTTTTCTTCGGAAAAATTCCGGCATGATTTGAACACGTTGTTCGTCGCCATTTTTTTGACGTCATAAACGAATGACCTGATTGATTAAACGACACCCGAGAGAGGGGAGTATCAGCGAAGAAAGTAGAAAGTAAGAGCTAACGTTTTGCCGCGATTCGTTTAGATGGCGTTCTGAAATAGACGATCGTCGTCTTTGCAACGCATTTTAAACCGCGGTTCAGCCAGCCAACGTCTAGGTGCCGTTCGGCTGTTAAACGTCGTTTAACGTAAACCCTGTCTTTGCTATCGGCTGTGTGAGTCTGGCCGAATCCACGAGGGACTATGTAGAAAAGGCTCTGTTACTGCTTACAGGGCGGAAAGAAATTCAATTATCGCGTGATACGACCTTTACATTGTCAGGGGAGGCCCGAGCAAGGTTTTCAGGTGGTGCGAGATCTCATTGTGGCGCCACCCTATAGAGACTAAACTGTACATAGAGATTAAAAAAGATAACATACATTTTTTACATTATTAATAACTTCGAAAGATTAGTATAGTAGTAGTATTGATGAGAAACAATATTTGTTTGAAAAGGTTAACAGTCCACAACGTTAAATGCGATTTTCACGCTATATATGTATACCTTTGAAATGCGCACAACCCAGCTCACTGCTGTATACAATTTATTTTGGCTGGTAGGGTTAAATAGTAATAAGGTAATTTTGGGTTTTATTTTTTGAGTAGATAATCTTTCGTTGCATTTTCTGCGCCCACCTATGACAGGCCACCCCTGTATATTGTGTTTAATAATGGCCTAGCACAATCTAACGCCTCTATCGCGCGGATTATTAAAAAAATGAGTAATTATATACAGGTTTAATCGTATTTAACGTTACTTTTAATTTTAAAATACAAAATTCATGACAATTTCTTGTGTTTTTGAAGTGATTTGATGCAAAATCAAATTTAAAAACCAAAAATGTTTACAGAGATAATTCATTTGTTCTGATGATTCTTTGTAATTACATTTATGATATTCACCAAATTGTTCTTCACAAATAATTTCAGAATAATTCTTATTATCTTTTCTGTTTTAACTCTTCTTTGTCTTTTCGTGTTCAAACATTCAATGGACTTTGATAAGGTTGTATTTGACGTTGCTGATTATTGAGAAATTCCAAACATGCAATTCGCAGCCGAATTGGACACGAATTGAGTGTAAACGTTGATCAACAATGGACAAAATCGGTGAATAATCGAGGATAGAGATTGTAAGGAATGGACACAATTGGGGAGAGTCTAGATTCGAGAAGACACAATTGAAAGTCAAAACTCGAAGAATCTAAAATCTGTGAATATAAAATGAAAATAATCAAGATTTTTATTAAAAATATTCAATTACTTAACCTCTATTTCCATATTTGCTAAAATACAGGGAATTGTTTTACGAGATTAGTACACCTCCAGAATATATTCTTGTCCATACTTTGACAAGTTGTGTTTAATTTATAAACTGGGAGCGCAAAATCTCCCAAGTTTTGACACAAAATAAAAATAAAAAAATGTTACGATAAAAACTTACCCGATACGAACTCGGACTAAATCAAGCAGATAGATCTTATGCTTGATTCAAAGATGGAAGCAAACGGAGCCTTATTCAAACTGGAGATACTCGGTTTCTCTCCACTAGAGGATTTGATCCCGGGATCTCGAAAATCGGGATCCCGGGATCCCGACCACTTTTCAGTCCCAAAATTTTCGGGATTAAGTTTTCCTAATCCCGAGATTTTCGGGATTGACATCATTTTAAAAAAGTTGCAAAATAGACTGCATGAAGCGAAACGTTCAGTGCCAGTGCTTTTAACAGAATTGCTTGCCTATCATTTTAATATAAAATACAAGAAATTTTATTCCAAGCAAGCAGCAGAAATTAACCTAGCGGGCTTGCGATGCTTGCTTGGAATAAAACTTCTTGTATTTTGAACTAAAATGATAGGCAAGCAGTTCTCACTGGGTTACTTGGTAATATACTTCATTTTTGTATTTTTGAATTTTCGCGGGCGCCAATCGATTTTCTGGCGCAGTCGAGAGCACTACTCAGTGCGTTTTACCTGTCAATGTGTCAGCCATCTTGTTTTGCCAGTGTGGTTAATATAGACCCGACGCCTCTCGCTTAGGGGGGTCGACCTTAGGTGAAAAGGTTACGACCCCCGCCTTGCCCGTGATCTGTCAGGATGATGCGAGAAAGTCTTTTTACGTTTGGGAGTAGTGGTTTGCTGGATGCTGAGAGACTCACACAGAGACCGAATTTACAAAATTAACGTGTTTATTTTTAGAAAGGCATGCTTACAATGATCGAAACAATCGGGATTGTAGCCTTTACTCCTACAATCCCGATCTGTGTCGACCGGACTGTTTTCTTCCAACCTCCCCGTGTCCTCGAAGCTATAACTAGAACGGGCTTATAAGTATTTACTAACGATTCCTCCAACTTCCATCAAACCTAAACGCGTTTTCTCAGCAGCTGCATATATGTGCAACAAATTGAGAAGCAGACTTGGTGATGAGACACAGGATGCGTTGTTATTTCTCAGATCATATTTTCGCAATTCAAATTAGAATGTTCCTATTAGATTAGTTTTCTTTATATTTAAGAAAAATGTGACTGATTAATATTATTTTTAAATACTTTTTGCTAAGAAACTTATCTTACTACCTACTTACTAGGTTGCTATATGAAAGTAGTCTATTTAGTCGATGTTAAGAGAGATTTTTGTTAATTTTCAACGTTTATTTGCATAGTTTGTTACATAAAGGTTTTTTCAATTTATGTGAGTTTAAAGAGATCTCAGTGATGCTTAAAAAAGAATAAATTTAACATGAAGACTGAGTGATTTTAAGTCTGGTTAGTCTGACTCTGAGTCTGATTAGTTAGAGTGATTAAATTAGCTAGGTGTATACTGTAAAATATGTTGATTTTTGTCTAAATTTTGATTTGATTTCTGTAAGATTTTCTTATTTTTTATTAACCCTCAATACCGAAATAATCCCGGGATCCCGGGATTGACTAAGTATAATCCCGAAATCCCGGGATTAGAAATAAGGACCGGGATCGAATTCCCTACTCTCCACTCTTAACACCTTTCCACACTTTCTGTACGGATCTGAATGTGGAAAAAACAGTATAATTACTTACTACAATTCTATCAAAACATATTGAGAGCGCTTTATCGAAGTACAGTACAGCTGTATTTCTATTAATTGACTTTAAATGTAGTAATGAATCAAACTAAGAATATAATATCCTCTACTAATTTATTCTGAATGTAATTCTGTTTTTAAACGAAACAGAAAACGAAATGAAAGAACGAAATGCTTCGTTCTTTCATTTCGTTGAATTAGAAATGATTCTGGCTTGGTAGACAAATATACTGACAAGTTTCGTTACAGCGCCAAATAATACTAAAAGTTGTGCCATTCTCATGAAATCACGAAGCATTCAAACTCAAATCCCTTGTGTATATCTTAATATTGTGTATGGTTGTTGGTGTTTGAAGTACTTCGGTTTAGCACCACACTCGATTTAATGAGAATTTTAGAGTTAAACGAATTATGGAGCTAAATCAATTACCTTTTGACTGGTTTCCATACAGCCTTGAAGAAAGATCCGACTGTTTTGAATGCCTTTGTATCTCCATATTCACGACTGTTGGAATATTCACGAGGATTTTTCACGCAATCCTTGTGCTTCGCGAGCCCTTTATTTATTCTGATTTTTGTTGGAGGAACCATAACATTATTATTGAGTCCACGATCCTCCTCGTCTTCAACCAATCGCTCACTAAACGCGAAAATAAAACATTTAAAATTCAATAAATATGCAATTTTGAAACCAAATATATGAAACTTCATCAATAAACATTTATAAAAATTTTATCTAACTCCTCCCAAAATTTCCCGCGAGATAAGCAAACTATTGTTTATTAAAGTTATTACTATTTATTGGAAATGTAGGGCCTCCCTAAATTCAAAGTTGTTTGTAGAATTCATTACAATATGTAATTCTTATCGCCGAGATTCTTCGGTATAGTGCCAACTTGATTTAGTACCAATGTCAGACACTCTATAGAGCTCTGATTATACATAATGATAGAATATGCCATACAAATACGAAGAGATATAAACAGTAATATAGTTTACCTGTTAAAACGATGGCACGAGGTCTGGTAAAATGGCCGAATTCTCTTCAAAGCCTGTTTATAAGCAGGATTAATATGATTTTTGAAGATGGACTTTCCAAATCTACTTTGTACGGGTTCCTCCTGCTTCAAGAAGCCTTTCTTCTTGTCACGAAATCTAAAATGATCCAAATCGTTTGGATTCACCAACCCCGCATATCCATTCAATCTCGCCCTGAATATGCAAAGAAAAAATTCATAAAACAATAAATATTTAATTAATTCCGAAACATTTCTCCTAATTTTAAAATAAAATGTATAAAAATATACCAATGAATTATTATATAATCCCTGACAAAATTTCCTATCTAACTGTAAGCTAAACAAACCATTCCTTAGAGCCTCGTGCTTTTAAATTTATTTTTGAGAGAAGAAAAAGATCTTTACACATCACATCTTAAGGCCTCAATAAGCCTAAATACGCGCTTGATATATGATTATAGAACAAGATATATTAAATATTAACGACCTTAAGTGTGAAGAGGCCCTAAACTATAAGTTAACGAGCAATTATATATTGTAACATGGTCAGAATGCCGGGCTTCAAATGTTAATCATATTTTTAATTTATTTAATTTAAAATATATGCTGTCCAACTCAAATTAGTAGTGGCTTGCCCCTGTAAATCATACTTTCCTGCTAGCAATAGAGTAGTGATATCTAATTCCTTTTAGGGGAAAACATTTGAATTGAAATAACGTGAATTCCGGTTTATACCGAAAGTTCGTATATATTTCGGGTTTCCTGCTCCTAAACTTTCTACTTGTGGACTCGACTCTCCAGAAATATCGAAGATTCGAAATCTTTACATTAAATTGAATTAATTAAAATTTTCACAGAGAAATTTTTCTTTAAACCCATTAATTTTTCGAATGAATCTCTTATTTGAATAAATGCCAAATAAAATGTGAAAAATTTCTTATCCTAAAGGTCGAGGCAAGGGTCGATAATCGCCAGAATCAAAGAACATTTTGCAATAATTCTCGAAAAATCGCACTCTTAACAATAGAAAGAGCAAAAACAATGAAAGATCAATTGTTGAGTTTCTTTGTTACTCATTAATCTGAGAGGATAGGATATTTTATTACTTTATTTTTTGGTCTAATTTTTTGTGTGGGGCACGATTTTGTTCACCCTGTTTGAAGCTTAATGATTCCTGCGCTTTTTGTCGAAAATTTATGAAATTTTGCAGGTAAGTTTGTTCATTACGGGACTTTTTATTTCTAAACTCTTTCCGCTCTGTGGGCACTAAGAGAGCCTCTTTTAGCATGCCCATTATGGGTTCGGCCAGGTCCATAATGGGGTGGCCGGATGGTAAAGGACGGAGCCCGACATTTTCAGACAGACCACCCCCAAAAAATTCCTGAGGATTTTTCGACCTGTCTGGATTCGATTCCGGGTTCCCCAGGGAGGTAGGCTGCCACCTTGATCGCTCGGCCATCTGGCCGGCTCATTAGGGGGCTTGATGCTATTAAATTTTAGTGGTTAAAGATGAAGGGGGTGAGGAGATGAAGGGGATCGTGTGTATCTCCAGTAGGGTCGGACTTAATGACGATTTTACTCGTTATTAGCATTTACAATTTTTTATAAATACATTCCTACCCTCAAAATTGAGTTTTTGCTATTTTATAATAGTGAAAAAATATAAAAAATTTTAATAATAAAATACATAACAGATGGTGCCACCAAGCTTGCTGGGAAAGTTAAGCAACTCGTTGCTTGATTTTTTTTATTCTTGACAATCTGCTATTGTCGAGAATAGGAAAACATGTGTATAAGGATTAAACAGTGATGCAAGAGATAGTAAAGGTGACATTCTATCCGTCTGGGAGACAGAACTTGCCTATTAATCCTATGTATCTGATGCCTCAGACAGAAAATTTAGACGCTTTTATACATTGTATACATGTTATCAGACTCATACTACCACACGTAACACCCATACACGTAGATATTTAATTAATTAAGTTAATAGAGCGTGTGAACGGAATGTAGGCAGACGGATGCGTCGGATCGTTGTTTTAACCGTGTGTGTTAGTATGAGGGGTGTTGTTATTTCGGGGATTGGATGTGAAGTGTTAGTATAACAAGGATGAAAAAATTAAAAAACTCTTGACATCTTATATCTAAGTTAGTAATAAATAAAGAGAAGAAACTATTCGTCACTTCCTCCTCCATAGTCGGTGACATCGCTACGGATTCCTAAACCATAAAGGAATACGTTGCCTCCGAGTCGAAGTTAGTAGCCTATTTAGGGTTTTATCCGCCGGTTTCGGTTTTCACCTGGGAAATCTATAAACTGATAACTCTGCCAGAAAGTGGGTGAACCTGCGCAACTTCTCCATTCAGGTGAAGTTGGTGGTGAAGAACAAAAAGGTTCTCTCCTACCACGCGTTTAGCAAAGTGTATGGTGTTCCACAACGCGTACTTCGTCAAATTTTCGGGGTTTCGAATGCCATTCGTCACGGAACAGTTTGCAGAATCTATATTAAATCAAGATTTATGTGCTGTGTTTTTGCATTTACTTATATGGTATAAAACCAAAAATCTGAAATTTTTAAGATAATTTAAATTTATTACCACAAGAATTTTTAAATGATTGAAAACATGAGAAAATTTGTTTAAAAAATTGACAAAAAACATTTAAAAAGAACTAGAGCAGATGTAAAGACAGGCAAGAACATAGTTTAGTTGTTTGGTTCGGTTTAGTGGTACGTATAATCTCAGTTCAAATCTTGTTTTCTTGGATAATTGAAGGAATACTGGAAATATTTTTCGTGTTTATAAATAGAAATATTTGCAATTAATCGATGTTAAGTATTGGAATATAGTTTTATGTATAATTATACTTTATAACAATTCAATTTTTTACTTCCGCTATTAAAATTGCACAAAAGATTCCACAGATGAATTAATATTTGTCATTTTATATTACTGAAAGCGAATGACGATCGAGAACCCAACGTATCGACTTAATCGAAAATGCCAGGAAGTTGTCAAAGGTGCCAATTAGACGTTTCGGCATTTCACAAAAAGGAAACAGAGATGTGTCAGACCATGTGTTTTGGGATGCAGAAGAAAAGAATCCTCGAGATGCCGTAAAACAATGTTTCGTGTTCTCAAAAGCACATTGAATGAAGGACTGTCTTTGTAATATCGTAAGATATTTTAAGATAAGCAGAAAAATAATTGAACTTTATTACTAGATCTAAAGTCACGAAGACACCAAAAACTGTACAAGTATTTATAAAAGTTATAATTTAAGATTCTCATCGCCTAGTTCTGAATATTACACAATGAACAAAAAGTAGCATTAATTTACAGAGTGAAGAAATGGATAAATGTCTACAAGTATTAACTATTGAGGAATGAATTAATTGTTCTTCGACAGATGGCGTTAAAGTTCAAGCTGCAATAGCTACGGGAATTTACTCCTGTTTTTATAAAAATGTCTTATACAATGAAAGGCATGGACGTCCCCAGAAGAGAAGAATGGGACACTTCTCAAGGATCAAGTAAAAATTCCACAAATTATAATCGCGAAAGTGGTTAAGATAGGTAATCTTATACCCTCGACCATGCGTCGCTCTGTTTGTCTTTTTGTATTGATGCAAATATTGTATTCTATAATCTACTCGTAAAAAAATCCCAAAAATTAAATAATTAAATAAAAGTTTATTTATGTAATTAATTATCTGTCTCCAAGCTTTTCTCACAACTATAAAATTTCTGCAATTGTCTATGATAAGGAGAAAAAAATTAAAAGTTGGCAACGTTTAAATAACAAAATTTAAATTTTGTCACGTGATAACTTTCTAACGTTTTAAAGAATTATTATTATTATTATTATTGTTTTATTTTTAATGTGAAACATAAAATTAATATTATAATTTATTTTATGAAGCTATTAAAATAATAATTATTATTACAATTTGATTAATAAATATGTGATATTTAAATGAGACCACATTGTCACAGATGATGTGATTGGTTAACGTTAATGATTGTTTTTAATCTAAAATTTGATTTGCTAGGTTTAATTTTTTTGTAATATTTAATTTGAATCGAATATAATGGAAGTAATTAGATAATTTAATTTAATAAATCGTGATAAATTTATTCTAAACGCAATAAAATAGCTTTAGAAATGTGATATTTACAGATTATAATTACTACGATGGTGATGTTGATGATGACGTCAAAGAATTTGTTGACAAAACTGAGGCCTTTTATGTATAAGTTATAGCTTAAACTATAACTTATTAAAGATGTTTATTGTAACATATAACGAGAGCGATAGTTTTTTTTATCAATAAATGGTCGTTTAATTCTACTATTCAACAATTTAATTATTTACCCTGCAGCGTTATAAAGTATTCTTCCCTCGTTATAACGACAATAGAAGCTCATTTGGATGAATAAAAAAAATCCATCAAATCTGTCAGTAAATTTTTTTTATCAATTATAATTAAAAACATTTGAAACTTTAATTAAATTATGCGCATTTTGCTTTATAAACACCCTGCTAAGTAGCGTTAAGAAGCACATTTTTTCCCTCGTTATAACGAATAGTTTCATCAGCAACAACAAGTTAAACTTGTTCTTACATTTCTGTTAATTATCTTAACTTGTGAATAAGATCCAAAAATTAATTAAAATTTTAAAAAAATTTAATTAAATTACTCACATTTTAAACAGTTCGTTGCCATTAACCTTGTGAATTAGAACTTTAAAACAATTTGCCTCGTTATAACGACAGTCAAATAGTTCTAAAGTCCTGTTAATTGTCTCGCCTTAAGAACAGCCAAAAAAATTATTAATTATAATTAAGAAAAACCTGGAAATTTAATTAAGTTTAGCGCACTTTGTACTGTAAACCGTTAGGTAACGTTACAAAGAATACTTCCCTCGATATAACAGTAGTAGCAGCCTTTTCCATCGAAGTTGCTCTAAATTCCTGTTAATTGTCTAACCTTATGAGCCAAAAAAAATTCGTTAATTATAATTAAGAAAAACCTGGAAATTTAATTAAATTTAGCACATTTCGTACTACAAACTGTTATTTAAGTAACGTTATAATGAATTTTTCCTTCGCTATAACACGAGCTTAAAAGAATTTAAATTCTCTCCTCGAAAATAGTGTGCCACTGGATGATAAAAATATTAAATGGCATCCATTCTTATTATCCTGGATGCCTGATAGATAATTGTAGATCCTGTATTCTAGAAGTAGAATAATAATTCGGGTAGAGGGGCCATAAAAGTTAATGGAATAAAGCAATAAAAATAACTCAAGAAACTGAATAAGTAATTATAGACAATTGATAATTCAAGGGCATACGTTTGTTATGCCTGGCATTCTAGTTAAAGGAGTTATTGATATGCAGAGGGCATAATGGGGTACTTGTTTGCATGCTCTTTCTATGGTATCCTCTGTTTACCTCTGATCTACTGAGGAGGGAGAGTCTGTGTGACGTCCTCTTTCTTTACAACAATTCCACACGTCTACTGAAAAATTTCGGTATAAAATGGCGAAATTATAGTATATAACGGGAAATTTATAATGAGGGAACACGTTAGAACTTCGATTTTACGAATCTGTAATCGAAATTTACCCGTAAGTAGCTCCAGATTGGTTTTGTTCGGTAGTTATCAACCTTTTCTGATGGTAAAGTTTTCCTCGCGCATTCCGTGGATCGAGAGCTACAGGTTGGTTGGCGTCGTCCTAGCTTCTCTGGAGGTTAGAGGTCAAGTGTAATGAATCTAGGAGATATTAACACAAAATCATTATCATTAGTGTCGTCGTAATGTCGTCGTCGTGATAAATACATAAAGATAAAAATCAATAAATTTATATCTTTGATTCATAATAATAATTCGGTCACGTGATAAATATAAAAATTACATTAGGGCCTATTTTTTATTTATTTAATGTATTTAAATAGCCTTAAGACAGAAGTAATTTGATTTTATTGATGTTGTTCT